CCAATGCTCCAACGGTGTTTATGGATTTAATGAATCGAGTATTTCATCCGTATGTTGATTCTTTTGTTATTGTCTTCATCGATGATAATTTGATATATTCTCGGAGTGTGGATGAACATGAAAAACATTTAAGAATTGTGTTACAGATGTTACGGGAAAAACAACTCTTTGCTAAGTTCAGCAAATGTGAGTTTTGACTTGATAAAGTTGTCTTTTTGGGGCATGTAGTATCTGGGGATGGTATTTATGTTGACCCATCAAAAGTGGAAGCAGTGGTGAAATGGGAAAGGCCTACCAATGTGACAGAAGTCAGAAGTTTTCTGGGATTAGCAGGTTATTACCGGAGGTTCATCCAAAGGTTTTCTAGTATTGCATTGCCATTGACAAAGTTGACCCGGAAAGAAGTAAAGTTTGTGTGGGGTGAGGAATGCCAAAGAAGTTTTGAAGAATTGAAGAAAAAGTTAACGTCAGCCCCAGTGTTAACTATTCCGTGTGGTGGTGAAGGTTTTATGATTTACACTGATGCTTCACATCAGGGTCTGGGATGTGCTTTGATGCAAAATGGTAAAGTAATTGCATATGCTTCTAGACAATTGAAGAATCATGAATTGAATTATCCTACACATGACTTGGAGTTAGCTGCTATTGTTTTTGCTTTAAAATTGTGGAGGCATTATATGTATGGTGAAATTTGTGAAATATCTACAGATCATCAGAGTTTGAAGTATTTATTTACACAGAAGGACTTAAATTTGAGACAGAGGCGTTGGATGGAGTTAATCAAAGATTATGATTGTAATATCCACCATCATCCTGGAAAAGCCAATGTAGTAGCAGATGCCTTGAGTAGGAAGTCTTCAGGGAGACTATCTTGTGTACAGTGTGCACGGGTGGCAAATATTATGGAATTGAGATTGATGGGAGTTAAATTGACAGTTACTAACAAAGGAGCATTGTTTGCACATGTTACGGTGAGACCTTTGTTGCTGGATAGAATTAAAGAGCTGCAAATTCATGATGTATTCCTGGATAAGAAAAGAAAAGAAGCTCAAGAGGGTATGCAAACTGAATTTACAGTTAAGGATGATGGGATTTTGTATTTTAAAAGTCGAATTTGTGTTCCAAATGATGTTTCCTTGAAAAAAGATATTTTAGATGAAGCCCACAGTTCTATATATGCCATGCATCCGGGGAGTACTAAAATGTACAGAGATTTGAAAGAATACTATTGGTGGAACAATATGAAATGTGAAATTGTAGAATTTGTAGCAAAGTGTTTGATATGTCAACGAGTGAAAGCTAAACATCAGAAACCAGTGGGGTTGTTGCAGCCTTTACCAGTTCCACAATGGAAATGGGAGCATGTAACCATGGATTTTGTGACGGGACTTCCAAGATCAAAACGGGGACATGACTCTATTTGGGTGATAGTTGATAGATTGACGAAATTAGCTCACTTTCTGGCAGTGAAAACTACTTATTCTACAAAGGAATATGCTCGTTTGTATGTTGATGTGATCATATGTTTGCATGGGGCTCCAATTTCTATTGTTTGTGACGGGGATCCGAAGTTCACTTCGAGATTTTGGTATAGTTTGCATGAAGCCATGAAAACTTCTCTGAAGTTCAGTACAACTTTTCACCTGCAGACAAATAAGCAGTCAGAACGAACTATTCAGATTTTGGAAGATATGTTGAGAGCTTGTGTGTTGGATTTCAAAGGTAGTTGGGATGATTATTTACTGTTGATTGAATTTGCCTATAATAATAGTTATCAGTCTACTATTGGAATGGCACCATATGAAGCTTTATATGGGAGAAAATGTAAAACTCCATTGTGTTGGGATGAAGTGGGGGAAAGAAAGTTATTGGGTCCAGAATTGATTGAACTTACAACAGAAAAAGTGAAGATAATTCAGCAGCGTATGAAAGTGGCACAGGATAGACAGAAAAGTTATGTAGATGTGCGAAAAAGAAGAGATTTGGAATTTAAAGTTGGTGATTTTATTTTTCTTCGTAGTTCTCCTTGGAAAGGTATTATGAGGTTTGGAAAGAAAGGTAAGTTAAGTCCCAGATACATTGGACCTTACAAGATTCTGGAACGAATAGGAGCAGTGGCGTATCGGTTGGAATTACCAAAAGAATTATCAAGATTGCATGATGTTTTCCATGTGTCTATGCTTCGGAAGTATATATCGAATCCATCTCATGTGTTTAGTTGCAGAAACGATAAAGTTGAAGGAAGATTTGACTTATGTAGAGGAACCGGTACAGATTTTGGATCGCCGGGAGCAAGTGCTACAGAATAAAACTATATCACTGGTAAAGGTATTGTAGAGGGGTCATACGATTGAAGAAGCGACTTGGGAAAGTGAAGAAGTTATGCGAATGCAATATCCTCACTTGTTCAGTATGTTTCATGCATTTTAATTTCGAGGACGAAATTTATTTTAAGAGGGGTAGATTGTCATATCCAGAAGTTTATTAACTCTTTAATTACTGAGCTTGTTAATATGTGTTTGAGTTTAAATATTTATATTTAATTGCGTTGAAAAACAAGATAAGAAATTTCATTTTTATAAACAATTAATTTCAAGTATGAAAATTGTTCACCAATGCATGGTATATGGTACCTAGAAGTGTTTGCACATGTTTGTTATATATTTATATGTATGGTGTCAATTACAAATTTTTGAAGTGGTGGCAGGTAGTGGGAAGGAAAGAAAAAATATATATATATATTAAATGAACAAGGTGTGTATATTGAAGTCAATGTGTTATGTCGTGGGTGTGTTTGTGCTAGAAGTTTTTGCTGTAGCCCATATACATAGAATTATATTAGTTACAAGCTTTAAAGTTGGTAAGGTAAATTGGTGGGCCCAATTGAAAACCGTGCCTATGTATATCCTTAAGTAGTGCATAGATAAAAGCTTAATTAAAAAGGTGTACTAGCTGCCAGTGTATATTTATATCCAAGACTACTCACTTAATCACACACACATGGTCATTGTTCAGGTGTATATATATTTCGTGTGGAGGTTTGTTGTGGACCGCTGGAACACCCTACTTATCCATGTGGGTTGATTAAAATAAAAATAAAAAGGAAGCCATTATTTTATTTTTAGGTGTTGCCGGCCCAAACCATCAGTGTCTATACACTTAACACGTTGCAAAGAGCCTTTAAGGGGCCTTTTGAACCGAAGCAGGAAGGGAGTTCGGCCATAGAAGAAGAAAAGAGAAGGAAGAAAGAAAAAAAAGAACAAAAAAAAAAGAAGAAAATCAGTAGCTTGAGCCGACCGGAAAGAAAAGGGGAGAAGAGTTTTAGAGAGAAAAAAATCATTTGGTACAAGTAGTGTGTTGTACTTTAGATTTTGTTTATTGGAAGTTTTTCATTAAAACTTTTATGAATTGATTTATTGAGTTCTTCTTGAATAAATTTCCTTTTTATTATTGTTTTACTCTTAGTTGAATTATTAATCTATATGAAGTGATACAAATTTTGCTGTGTGTATATAAATTAGATGTATGGATTCCTTTAAAATATTGTTAATTACTGTAAAGGAAGAGATTGAGAAGTTGTCCTGGAAGCTTTGTGTGTGAAAGGATTTTTATGAAGAGAGAACAAAAATTATAATTTTCTGTGGGCATTGTTAGAACCCATAAAAGTAATAAAATTAAAAAAAAAAAAAAAACTGAGGGTCACTGGGAGGTAGCGGCTGGAGAGGGAATGAGGAGGAAAAAGAGAGAAAATGAGGAAAGAAGAAAAAACATGGTTGGGTGGATTGCTTTTGGAACAATAGTATTAAAGGTACATAAGTTTGTATTTCAATTTTTCTATTATTATAATTTTTGACTAAATTCAAAGTTTATCATGCAAATTATTACCATGATTATTTCAATTGAAATATTAAGTTGAAATTTAATACAGATGTGTGTGATCAAAATTTTAGTTACAATTGTGTACAAAGGATGGGAATTTATTACGAAGGTTATGATAAATATTATATATTTTCTTTTAGAAATGAATATGACATGGTTATAATATTGTTCAGGCAAGGGGATGGAACAGACCACATTGACGGCACCGAAGGAAAAATAAATAATTGGAAGAGGAACCAAGGTGAGTGTACTCACTGGAAGTTTTACAGTTGAATGTGTTAAATTGAAGTATTGAAGTTGTTATGTGATATGAAGACGCATATATATATAACTCCATACTCTGGTCTGGAAGGAGAGTAATATATTATATAAGGTCCATACTCTAACCTGGAAGGAGAGTACTACATTAAATAAGGTACTCAGTACTCTGGCCAAAAAGGAGAGTACTATATTTAAATAAGGTCCATACTTTGGCCAAGAAGGAGAGTACTATATTTTAATGTCTGTAATATGTTAATGAAGTTTAATTGAAGTTATCAGATAATAATTGTTTATATTACTCTGATATAGTAGTGTTGCATTCACTGGGCCTTAAGTTCACTCCTTCATATCTATATTTTCAGGTACAAGGTGGGGTTGCTACTGCCAGGTCTAGAATTTTGTGTGCGAATGGGGAAAAGAACAATGGAACGTATGTTGTTTAAGATGTAAATATTGTAGTAAAATTTTAATAGTGTAACTTGTCGTTAACGTTTTAGTTTGTCAGAAATTGCATAACAGGCCTATACTTTGTTTTCAATCGTAATCTGTTAAGCAGGTACTCTGATGTATGATGATGTCATGTTAAATGAGGTTAATGCAGATGGTTAGATACATTCCAATTTGTTCAATTTATTAAATAGTATAAATTGGGTTGGGGTGTGATATTGAAAATCCTAATTTGTGTTGAGATGAAAGATCCGTACTGCCGGAAAAGGAAATTCCGGCGGAGAGATTATTATTATTATTATATTTTTGGCCACGTAGGAACAGGGCCGGCCCAGGCCCAAGGCGGGCGGTCGCCTTGGGCCTCAAATTTTAGAGGGCCTCAGGGATGGAAAAAATAAAAATAAAAAATAAGTTAGGGCAAGTTTCAGACGACACAATCTGCTTCGACACTCAGCAGGGCGCAGCCTCCGCTATCGCCTTAGGTGACAGGGTATGTTCATCCTCTCTCTCTTGGGAAGCGGAGGATCGGCTCAACGTAGAGGAGCCGGATCCAAGCCGGAGAGGCAGATTGTAAATATAACACAAACAAACAGTGAAAAGAACAAGGAACAGAAACTAGTACTAGTATGGTAGTGTCTTCTTCCTTCACTTTCTCTGCAACATCAATGGCGATCCACAAATCCCCAAAGAACAGACAAAAATCAAGATCCCCAATTCTCATACTCACGATCTCCGTCGCTGCAATTGCCATCTTGTATCTATTTTCCTCTTTGCTTTCAACCACTGGAGTCTCGTATTCCACTTCAAAAAACCTAGAAAACTTGGTGGTGAAGTCCAACAACCATGAGAGACAACATAATGAGGATGAAAAGTACCTGTATTGGGGCGAAAGGATTGATTGTCCCGGAAAGCACTGCGAATCTTGTGAGGGTTTGGGTCACCAAGAGTCCAGCCTTAGGTGTGCCCTTGAAGAGGCCATGTTTCTACAGAGGTAATCCCCCATCTTGTCTGGATTTTAGGGTTTTTTTTTTCTTCTTAATTTATTGTTATTATTATTATTTGCGGTGGTGTGAAAGACACTTTTCTTTGCTAAAACTGCTTAGTACAAATTTTAATGCACAATGTACATGTAATGATGTAATGTAATCTTTATTGTAAGTTGGATATTTAAGGTGTTTTCGTTTTGGATTGGTTTCCAGTGCCTTTTTTTTCCTTCTTGTGGCACTATAATTCTTTGGGTTTTTCTTGTCCTTGGTACTAAACTTGGAAGGGTTTTGTGGATTTTTTTGCGTAAATGATGGCTAGTATTTTGGAATTCTGAATTGATAGATGAAAAAAATGACTGGTACATAGCGTGGAAGGAGCTTGCGAACCTATTTGAGGTGCTTGAATATAGAAGATGACATTTTGTCAGTTAAATCATGGGAATGCAGTACATTCGGAATCATTACACTTGCATTTGTCTTCTTTTAGTCTCATTCCAATTTCCGTTCTCAGCTAATTATTGATTAATGTTGGGAAATTTGATATAAAGGGTCGTTCAGATATCTATTGGGCATCAGATTATTCTATTGTTCATACGCGTCCCTGCGTGTTTCACTAATACAATAATCACATGGTTTCAAAATTCTGCTTAAAGTTATCTAATGTTATTGGAAATTCTGTTGTGAGTTGTGACTTGGAATGTTTTGGTTAAACAATTTAGTGGTCTGCAATTTGAACCAATTTTATATACTAGGCTTGAAATCTAGATGAACTCGGAATCTTGATTGAAACTCGACGAAGTTTGGTCACAGTAGTGAGCAAGTTGCCAAATTTTGGTGGTCTATGAATTCAACAATTCAGACCAAATGGGATTTGGGCCAAAAAAATTCACCGATGAATCTTCAAGAATTGCCTTGCATTCAAAAGAGTATTTACATTTGAAAAACTTGTTCAAACCCAATATTTTAATTTTTGACATCAGGGGTTTTGTGATAAGATGTCTGCAAACCCCTTGAAACTTGTTCACTTCTAGCTCGGGCTTTTGAAATGGTTCAAATTGTTCCTTGACACTGACCCTGGTCACTGGGTCATCACTTTTATAACACATAAACTTCAGGATTTTAATCAATGACCCAAATCCTTTCATATGTTAGTTAAATGTGTTTTTTTTTTTCAATATACTTGGTGAAAATGAACAGTCATCCTAACCTACTAATTTTTTCTTGTTGCAGAACTTTTGTGATGCCTTCTAGGATGTGTATCAATCCAATACACAATAAAAAGGGGATTCTGCACAAGGCTGATAGTGCAAATTCAGAGGAAAAGTGAGCTCTGTTCGAGTATTTTGCAATCAACCCTTTTGTTATGTGGCAATTAGTCAATGAAGTTTTTTTTGCATGGATTTAGTTCTAGTGGTTGTGTGTGTGCGTGTCATTCCTGGTTCTAAATGGATGATTTGAGGTGGAGTTTTGTGCGGTACATTTGGTTTCCAATGTCGCATTGGCACACATAGAGATTGGTGTTCAATATACATATTAAGTGTCTCAGAGGTTACCTATAGATAAATATGGAATTGGAAATAGGATCCATTCTCAAATAGTGCCTATCATACATCTTTTTATAGCTTTGGCACAATTAAAACTATTAAAATGTCCCTACTGGAAAATATATATATATATATATATATAAATGTGCTTTCTTGCATTGTCATCGACTAGCAATTGGACATATAATTTAAGCAGATTGTAGTTTAATGGTTGTTGAATTCACTTTATTTATTTATTAATTTTGTAGGTGGGCAGCTAGTTCTTGTGCCATGGATTCTTTTTATGATCTGGACTTAATGTCCAACACTGTACCTGTAATTTTGGACAATTCAAAACTGTGGCATCAGGTTCTATCAACAAGTATGAAATTAGGTGCTAGAGGGGTTGCCCATGTAAAAGGAGTTAGTCGGAATGATCTCAAAGAGAAAAGTAAATACTCAAATATTTTGCTCATAAATCGAACTGCAAGTCCTCTTTCATGGTAAATATTCTCTCTCTCTCTCTCTCTCTCTCTCTCAATATGTACACACATATCTTCTAGTGATGAATATTTAATTCTGAAAGTATTGTCAATAGTGACTGTTGGAGTATTGAAAATGATTGAGGATAATATAATAAGATAAACTGAGGGGGCGCGGGTGGGGATAAGCTTGTAAGGGGTAAAAAAGGAATTTTTTTGTTGCATATGATACTGTGGAAAAATCATAATTTGTAGCTATGTTACTAGTCTTAGGTATGATCATCAAGTGCAGGTAATTACAAACTATCAGACTGACGTAATCCTAAATTTTTTAGAATACATGGTCTCAGTTAAACTGAGTTCAAAATTGGGTACGGATACATCTATACGGCCACCACATTTACATGCATATCATATTTTATGTTCTTTTGTGAAAAATGATTTAATTCTTCTGTGAGGATATTCTTGAACAAAAACTGAATATGTTGAGGTGTTTTTGAGGGATATATTACAAGGGTTGTGAGGATAAAAGAAAAGATGATAGTAATGGAAGTTAGCCTGAAAACAAAAAACAGTTGGGGAGAAATATAGGAGTTCCGAAAGTCCAAAAGTGGTGTTATGTAATGTAGGAATCTGCTGCCAGAGATCACTTTCCTTATCTACATGAGAAGCCAACAGTGTCCAAGAAGGCAAGAATGAAAGCTCTTGTTGTTGCATTGCTGCAATCAAATACTTTTTAATCCCTCTGCTTCTATCAAAGAGCTCTACTGCATCTCTCTTATCTCTGCTATGATTAGGATGGTTGTTGAACTCTAGTAGTATGGTATAGAGTGGTATGGTATATTTCGAATAGTTTTTAAGTAAATCGTACCACTCTTCTTTTTTACTTTCATCTTCACTTGTTTGATATGTGAATACTTGTATGCACTCATATTCCGTACCCTTACCCTGGTCTTGTCATCAACATTGGCACCTTGGGAAACACACGAGAGTGGGTAACACATTTTTCTAGGAACTTCTGAAGCATTTGGGGATATTTGAATTGTTGGATTAGGTGTTTGCCTGGTCATTACAATATTAGGTACAATTCCATATAGTCGGTGACTTTTTAATTGGTATTCTTTTAAGTTTCAAGCTCGAAGTATTTGTGGCTGACTTGGTGGCACAATGATTACTTGGTCATGACATAATGGATAGGTGATATGCAAATAATAAGATACTCTGCACACAAGGTCCAAGAAAATAAATAAGTAGTTGATGCAAAGTAAGCTAAATAGGTAAAGTTTTGTCAAGCTGCTACCACCGCCATTTTTAACATTCTCCTCTTTAGCACCATCCTCATCATTATCATCACCTTCACTAACTCTCTTGTTCACTACCCTTTTTGGAACTGTGATCCTCATCTGCTTGAGCATCCGTGCACTCCTTTTTTCTCAGGATTCTCCCCCTCCTTTATGTCACTGTTTCGTTACCTTGGCTGGGTGGCAGAGATATGAACTCCAGATGATTATAGCATTCCATGTTTAAGATAATCGAGTTAATTTTTTTTTGGGAAAAAGAAAGAAGACTTACCTTGGTTGAAGGAATTCAAGTATTAACCATGAATAGTCAATCCAAGAGCGGCTTCCTTTAAACTTACAAGCCCAAAAATCTGACATGTGAGGGGGAGAAAACTGAGTTGATGTCCTCTTCTGCTCTCTAGTAATGTGGTTGCAAGGAAAGAGGCTTGTAATGCTAGAGAATAAGTTGGGTTTTTCTTTTTAATAATTGGTTTCAAATCCCACACGTGGCCTTTTTGACTGAGCTAGTTGTCTCAGATGATGTCTCGTCAACCTATGTGGTCAACAATGCTACAACATCAAAATGGTTACAAGGGTCCCTAATTATACCCAAACACTGGTCCTAGAGTGGTGGCACAATGGCCCAACAGTGGTACTCCTGCCAATCAAGGTTCGGCCAGCTGATGGGGCGTATCGCTAGATGTCTTGTGAAATAACTTGCTGTGGAGACCGATTGCGCTGAACATCCAAATACATTGGGAGATTCATCGTCTTTTATCCTTGTTTCTTTCACTCGAACTCCTGAGTCAATGTTGAGTGATCAAATTCTCGAGGCTGGAACAGGATCTACTCATTTAAGTGCAACTAAAATTCATTTTCAAATGGTTCAGGTTTCATATTCACCAACTATGCAATTCTATTTAAGAACCACAAGAGATTCTCTCTCTCTCTCTCTCTCACACACACACACACACACACACTCTCTCTTTCACTCAATTTGGGCGTCATGTGGCATACAATATAATTCAAGCTATGCCTTTTGGTGAGTCTGCTGAGCTTTTGAATCTTGTTAGTTTCTGTGTTCAGGTTTATGGAGTGCAAGGATCGAAACAACCGTAGTGCTATTATGTTGCCATATTCATTTCTTCCTTCAATGGCTGCCAAGAAACTGCGAGATGCAGCAGAAAAGGTATGGCAAATGTACTCTTATTTTCTGGTTTATCTACTCATTTCATGGTGAAATAGTGTATCATGTAGGACTTAACAAGTTTTTATTCCATCTTCCCATGCAGTAAAAATGTCAATTTCTTAAAATGAACTGTCCTAGGTTCATGAAATTACTTGTTTCTTGGCTGGCTGCCAAAGTTCTGACTAAAAAATTGAAGTGGGGAAATGGTACTTGGCTGCAGATGAATTGTTAGAGATGCAAAATTATATTTCTTATATAGAAGATTTGTCTTGGAACATTAGCTTTCAACTATAAAAATTTGTATTCACATCCGGAAACATGTTAAATGTGAATTGATTCAATTAATTAACTACAGTCATTATCTTACTAATGGCTTTTAATCAACCCCCCAAAATTTGTATTTTCTTGGGTTGTGGTTTATTGTTCCAAAGCCATTGCAGAAAGTGATCATAAAGACAAGGGGTGGTATTAGACGTTCAAGTTTTATTTCTTGTCAATCACAAAATTAAATAAATACATGAAGGGTTAAAAATCTTGGTGTTTTGGAACAGATGTATGTTGTGTTAAACTTTTGGGTGATGACTGATAAGTTTAGGTCACCTGACCAGGGTGTTCGCAGAATGTGGGATACTAGTTTGAGGTATTATCATGTTGGTTTTTAGATCCCAATTTAGATTCATGGGTATTTTATTTACTTATTTATTTTTTCTTGTTTGTCAAATGTTACATATGCTGAGAATCTTATGTCGGACTGGTGTCAGGAGGGGTGAGAACAGTTTGAAGATATAACCATGGACTAATTTTTAAGAATGAGGCTGACAATATGCATTTCCTAAATTGCTACATTTTGGTGAATTATGATAATTATGCTCTCTGATACAAACTAATTCTACTTTTCCTTGTTCCATTCTCTGCATAATGCAGAGGTTTTGCATGATAAGTCAGAAAATATATTTTATCAACCTCTGATTCATGAATCAATGTCACACTGACAGATCAAAGTACTCCTTGGTGATTATGATGCTATCCATGTTCGTCGAGGTGATAAATTGAAAACTAGGAAGGATAGATTAGGGGTTGAGAGGACCCTACATCCTCATCTAGACAGAGACACACATCCAGAATTTATGATCTGTAGAATTGCAAAATGGGTCCCGCCAGGACGAACTGTTTTCATTGCTTCAAATGAGAGGACACCGAATTTCTTTTCACCTCTATCTGTGAGGTAAGTTATCTTCTGGCAAAATTTTTGGCCTTTGTACTATTAATTTTATGAATATATGTTTTTTTTTTTTTTTTTTTTTTTTTGATAAGTAATTTTATGAATATATGTTATAGGAGGAACATTGCCTTGTAACCATTTAGTAGGAAAATTGACTTTTGTTCTTCCATTTAGGCACACAGGATACTTTTAAAAAATATACATTTGCATAGTCGAGGTGACCTTATTTGTATGAAAGAAATTTCATTATTATCATCAGGCACAGACCCAACCTAGGACCAGTGGGTGCCCCCACTGGATTTTTAATATTTTCATTTTATACCTCAAATTTTTTTGAATTTATAAAGATGCCCCCACTAAAATTACAATTTGCCCCCACTGAATTCTTCTTCTTCTTCTTTTTTTTTTTCATTTTATACTTTAAATTTTTTAGAATTTATGAAGATGCCCCCACTAAAATTATAATGTGCCCCCACTGATTTTAATTTTTTTGCATTTTATACTTTATATTTTTTTAAATTTATGAAGAAAACCTTATTAAAATTACAAAAAATGGACCCACTATATAAGTTTGCCCCACAAATTAAAAGGCCACCCCCCCTTCACGAAATTTTCTGGGTCCGTCACTAATTATCATCTGTCCCTCCTTTGAGTGGCAGCGGTGTGGCAAGGCTGCAGGGCCTGTGGCTGCAGAGAAGGGCTGTAGCATCTGGTTTGATGGGCTGCGGCAATTGATATGTTCGCAGTGATGGAGGTGAAGATGATTTTTGATGGTGTTTATGTTGATAAGATGGTGCTGCTGTCATGTCACTGGTGGTGATGACAGCTGCAAGGATTGGGGTGGGAGTAGAGATTTGATTTGCAGGCTATTGTGGAGGGAAAAAGTGTACGTCGTGCATGGCAATATTTATTACTTGCTTTGATAAATAATTAGAAACTTTATTTTTGTGTTTCTGCTGGTAAAGTTAATAGGTAGCCGTACCAAGACTATGATTCAATTCGCTAGCAGCAGGGCTGGGGTGGAGTATGCATAATAGGAGAGGAGTTATCCCTTCTTAGCCCATACATAGTCAACGGCTATGTTACATAGACTCTACAAAAGTAGTGAAGTACCCATGTCGGACACATATTACTTGGACATGGGTATAGGATATGTGTCGGACACTTTTGAGTGGACATGTATTTAAAAAGTATATCCAATCATTCAATTATATTATATTATTACTTTAAACTGGGTTAAATACCTATATTGAACACTATGACAATAGTTAAAAACATTACTTTACTCTAGAAAATAAAATGAATATTTAGGAGTGTTCATGTGTCCTTTTGTTTGGAGATATGACACGTCCGACGCATGGATACATACTCCTGTTCGACACACATACCTAAGTCCAGGTAACATAGACTTACGAACCTATGGTCTATGAACACTTCGGCATAGGCTCCAAAAAAGTCCCAGGCTTGTCGAGGAGGCTCAGCTAGAGCGCCTCGACCTAGTACAGGCCAGGCCCCTTAACCAGGCTCGCATAAAGCTCTTAGGCTTGCACTATTTAGTAGGTTCCACGCTCAAAAAAGGCGTGCCTTTTATTTTTAATCATTTATTCATGTCATTTTCTTTTCTATTTAATGAATGTCTATTATCATAACTTGGTTCTGAACATATATGATAATAATTCAGGGAAAAAAAACATATATGACAATATATGTTTAAATTTTGCATGTTTATAGTTTTTTATTGTTACAGATTTTGTAATCACGTTTAATTTTGTTAATGCATACATCTGAATGGAATTTTGAGCAAATATCAAAAATTCAATTTTTAGAGAATTTTATATTATCTGTGCTGCGTATCTTGAATTGTTCCAATTGTACATTTATTGAATTCATATGCAAATAGAAAAGATATATGTATTTTGATTTAGCTAATCAATAAAATTGATATGCTGAAAAAATTCCTTATTTTGATATTGACGAGTTTGTGTTGCATACTTATAATTAACATGCATTTATTATTTACTCAAGCGCCTTACTTCGATCTTTATTCCGTCTTGCGCTTAGGCTTCAGAAGACCTTTGGCGCCTTAGTGGGCTTTGAGCCTTTAACAACTATGCTTTGGCAAGGAAAAATAAAAAAATAAAAAGATAAAAAGGAAGAAGTTACCCATCCTATCTTTGGTGCTAATTTGGCTTCCTAAAGCACTTGAATTCTTATGTGTTAGCGCTGTAGTTTTTAATTTATTTTCAAAATTATAAACAAAGGTGCCAACTAAATTGTAACTGAATCATTTTCACAACTCAAAATTCTAGATATTTATTGATGAAAGCTCAAGATTTAATAGAATTTTGACATGCAAAAATTTTCAAAACTCTATAATTTGGTTGCAGTTGCCATGTTCTGATGTGTACATGCAGGCTAAGCTGCCTTTTTGGTATCAAAATATTTGCAGGTACAAATTGGCATATTCATTGAATTATAGCAGTATCTTGGATCCGTTGGTTGAGAATAATTACCAACTGTTCATGATAGAAAGGCTTATAATGATGGGAGCCAAAATATTCATCAGAACATTCAAGGAAGATGATACTGATCTCAGCCTTACTGATGATCCAAAGAAAAACACCAAGGCATGGCAAATACCTGTTTATACCAGGGATGAAACAGAATGCTGACTTCACTTTCTTTAAAGGCTTCAATTTCTTCCTTGGGTTCTGGCCTTATGGCTTTCCCGTGGTGATTGATTTATTCTCTTGCTTTTATTACTGCACTTCTTCAAAATTATAGAACAAATGCTACTTTGGGGATCAGAATCTTGTAGCTGTGCACGAGGAGGAGAGGTGATAGCTTTGCCCCATGTGGTAAATCATGGCCTGAATCACAGTACGAGATTCTTCGTAGTCCACAAATACAGAAAATTTGAGCAGCCCAATTATTTGATTTTTTTGGCTATTTGTGTGCCTGATAATAACGTAATTGAATATATTTCGGATATTCAGACACGAGAAGATGCAATTATAATTTAGAGCTGTTCTGTTTGGATCGTGAGGAGGTTTTGTTGGCTGTTGCAACCGTCATTCGCTTCAGGAAGACTGGTGATATCATTGACCTGCAATCTGGTTCATGTTATATATATATTACTTGTATATTTTGTTTTTAAAATCAGTGTCCATTATTGATTACAATTAGGTAACTTTTGCAACTGTAGTGTAAAAGAAAATATTGGGTTTATTTAAAGTAATCATATGGATATGTAATTTAATAACGGTTGTGAAAGGGTTGATTCTTATATAATTCTGATTACATTTTTGTGAAGGCCAACAATTGACTGTGTATTAAGATTCCAATTTTATATGAAGCTATCAATCATATCTTGAATGTTTTTTTTATTTTTATTTTTTACAAAAATGTGTTATTTGAAGAATTTGGATTGTTGCTAAGGTAAGGTAAGTCAATCCTTTGCCTATCACCATCAGCGTCGGTATTCCATTATGTGGTTGCAATGTGCCCCGCTGCTTTTTGATGGAGTGGAGAGCTTACAAAATGCAGCTGGAATCAGATTCCATATTCTTGTAGCATATGCTTTTCTAAACCACCATTTGGTCTTTGAATGGATCACATTAGTACTAGTAGTAGTTCACTTTAAAGGCTAAATGAAAATATTATTTTATTATGGTTTAGTATTTATAGTACAAAATTTCATCCCAACCAAAACTATTAGGGCTGGCTGCCATGAGCTCCACCAGATTTTATTTTATTGTATTTAATATTGACAAATATTATAATCAGATTCTAACCCCCTTCCCTTCTCCTTTGAAGGGTGTCAAGGTAATTTGGTAATGTAAATGACATCTGGGTAGAGTATCTATCATCTTTAACTTACTCTGTGATTAGAAAACTCAGCACACCTCACCCATCAATCTGCAAAGATGTGTGTGTGGCAATGATACCTTGTTGGTCCATTCCGTGTCCAAACCAATGAAAGTCAAGAAAAAATCTCCTACATCAACACTACAGACGCAGGCAGACCCATCCATCATCATTTTGACTACTATTTATTTATTTGCTAAATGCCACGTGGTGTGGGGTCACCATTTTGGTCTATTGGTGTGTTTTTTGATGGGCCTACCATCCCCCACTTGTCCTGTTGATGTGGCGTGACGAACCAGACCCTCTCATCTCCATCCCATGTTATGAAGATTCTGTTCCTTTATTCATAAAACGTACTAATTAATTTCATTACTAGTATTTGTATATGATTCGATTTATATGCTAGTATAATTACCTAGTATTCCATGATTTCAATCTCCCCATAGTGTTACTGTGTTAGTGATAGGGAGGGTGGGACCCACCCGCACAGCAAATCACACGCGTCTTCTTCAAGTTAAGGTCCCAAGTTCGACCCATTCACTCGCACGTACCACCTGCACTGCGTCATTCCCACGTGCCAAACACCCACAGAAGAAGAAAAATATAAATAATAATTAAAAAACATTGCTCTCTCTCTAGATATCGAAACGTAAAATTAACGATAAGCGTGACTGCACGCACAATTACAGAGCTGTCGTCACCGGACACACGCCCCCCCCCCCCCCCCCCCCCCCCCCCACTTCGATTCGCCGGAATAATCCCACCTTTCAATCAGGTTTGGATTTTTTCAATTCAGTCTTAACGATTTCATTCTCATCCTTCATTTCATCACTTTATTGTGCTTGTCTGTCTTTTTCTCGTTCTCTCTCTCATCTTATTTCCCTTTTTTTATTAAAAAAAAAACTATCTTCTGTTTGGTTTATTTTTGTAGTACTCTGTTTGATTTCAAATTGTTGATCAATATCTTGCAACTTCTAAATATAATCTTTTTCACTGTGTTTTGGATACACCGTTTCTGGTCAGACCCTAAATTAACACTATCTCATTGTCAATAAAGATCAGTTGAGTTTTTTTTTTTAATATAAATTTCCATGTGATTCCACACTTTTTTTTTTTTTTTACTTTTCTATTCCTTCATTTGATTTTATCCTTTGTTTTTTCTTTTCACAGCATCATTCTTTTTTGGAAAACTAAAATCTGCCAACTCTTATTATATACAGAATTTTGAGTTCAATCATACTTCATTCATATATTTTCTTTACTTACGATTTTAACAGCCAAATTTAATCTAGGGTTTTTCAGGTGAGAATTATAGTGATTGTGTGATATGCCGTATTTGGTACGTGAGCATCTCTTCATCGGCAAAATTGGTGACGCTGCTGAGATTCTTCAGAACGGCAGTGACGAAATCACGCATGTACTCTCAGTTCTCAGTTCGGCATCAATATCTTTTTTCACTGAATGGCGTAAGGGACTCTCGATTCCTACCAAAGAGATTCGCAAGGTTTATGCTGGAAGTTTGGGATCCGAGGATGATGCCTCCAAGACTTCCCTGCCTCCAGATAAGCTTCTCTACTCATTGGAGTACGCGGGCAAGGATTTGAAGCTTGTGAGGATGGCAGTTCCACTGAGAGATATGGAGAGTGAGGATTTATTGGATTATTTGGATGTGTGTTTGGATTTCATTGATGAGAATCGGAAAGAGGGGTCTGTTTTGGTGCATTGCTTTGCTGGTGTCTCAAGAAGGTACAATTTATGTTTTCTCTATTTTTACCTTTTATTCTGTTTGTTATGCATTTTGTTGAGGCTTGTGTAAGTAAGTTGATGCTTTCTACACTTCATACCTAGGCTTTTTCTAATTTCAATAAATAAAACCATGCTGTGTCTTCTACCACCTTTTCTATTACGATTTGTTATGAACTTTCTGCTAATGCTATGTCAATTACTTATGTCAGGTTAGAATAATCAGCTCAATGGAATTCTGTTCCAGTTAACCCTCAAAAAAACTAGATCACTTCAATTTTAAGAACATAAAAGTTTGTCAAGATACTAATTATAAAAATATAAGTAAAATTTCTCTTAGATAATTGCTTAAAAATTAATTGAAAAATCCAAATCCTTCCTTTTATGGTACAGGAAATAAAATTTGTAGATAATGAAATGTGATTTAATATGCGTCTTCACTATTAGGAGGTGTCTACACATAAAAGTGCCAACAACCTCTCCCCCCAGCCAATGGGGACCCAGCATCCTCGTTAGCCTGACCCTCGTGGGCTTATGCACCCTTCCCCCATTTCTCATTGGGGATTGACTCTGATACCACACTTTGTCACGCCCCAAATCCACGTGGCACTATAATAATTGCACAAATGATCTAAGGCGTGTTCTAACACAATCCACCAACTCAAAATTAATTGAGTAACAGAGAAACAAATTCAATAATTAATAAGAACTTAGAGGCGGAAAGACTTGACAAACACCCCCTTTATTACATTCTACTCCTGAAAAACGTTAAGATTTGAATGAGCTACACAGCCCGGTAAACAAATATGCACATCCTTAAGGTAGTTTACGTTATTTAACATTCATTATTGTTCGAGTAAATTGAAACCACAAACGTAATGTTGAATACTTCTAGGGCATTTAATACTATGCAGCTGACCAATCTCAAACAACTAAATTAAACATACACGAACAATATAGTGTCAACGTATAAGTTATACTAGCACAAATAGTTTAAGAATAGGATGCATCACATGTATAACTTCTTAAGGTACAAGCAACAACTATTAAATGCAAATGATGCATGTAATGAATGCAACGTAATGCAAACTCCCTTCACCACCAGCTTCCTTTATTGCAAACCCAACCTGGAGCTATTGGGGCTACTCTAGCATAGCATAGATCCTCCGACGTACCTAAAGCTGTCACTGGTGGTCATCTTTCATACCATCTATGCCAAACGGGCCTTGTGTGCACAACCCCAGCTAACCCGCTCGATCACCTCCAACATGCAATTTTCATGTGTGCATTCATATGCATATGCATCTTTAACTGAATACTAATAGATATCATCTCAAAAGCACTTTTGTACAGGCATTCAAATATCCTAATGTAATATGTCCCTACTAAATGTAAATATTATTATCATTATTATTGTTATTATTATTATTGTTAATGTTATTAATATTCTCCAATAGCCAAGTACTGTTACACAAATAAATATTCACAAGAATGAAGTGACAATAATCTTATTTATATCTCCCTTGTTCTTTCTTGGTTTTCCTTTGGTAGTGAATTTATTATCTTTCTGTCTTAATACTCATCTGTTCATTATTCACAATGTAAATAATAAAATTTAACATCCATTAATGTCTTCCTATTTTGTATATTATATATATAATATATATGTTATTAATATTAACCTTTTTGGCCGTGGTATCTTGAGAAGCATTACTAGCACACTAATAAATGTGTCAAACGTCCCCGTTAGCTTGCCATTGTGGTCTATTATTATTTTATTATATTTCATTCTTTTCTACCATCAGGACTTGTGTATGAACAATGGATAAGGTATACCAAATGCCATATTAACAACTAGATTAAATTATCCATACGCATAAATATGCAAGAAGTCATTGGAACTTATACACACGCGCGCACACACACATCTATAATATTCAATGACTCCAGCATAATTGGCAAAAAGGCATGGTTGTTGTTGTTGTAGTCACTTCAGCACCGACCATGACAAGCACACAATCAACCATTCATATTCAAGTAGTATTAGATCACCTATATAATAAATATGTTTGTGTGTGTCTATATATATATTTCATGGATGAGAGCAAGTCTTGGTGCAATGGTAAGGTTGCTCAATTGTGACCTCAAGGTCATGGGTTCCAAACACGAAGACAACCTCGTTGCATGCCAGAGTAAGATTGCGTATATCTGACCCTCTCCAGACCTCGCAATGGCGGGAGCCTCATGTACTAGGTTTGCTCCCTTTTAGATACATAATTCATGGATCCTGTATTACAATTCAATATTAATTACAATTAGTTGAGTTTAACACTAGATTAAGCATGCAATATCTACTTACCTCAAAGCTTCAATTTGAGTGATTGATCTTTTGATTCCCTACGTCTCCACAAATTCCTTCACTGCCTCCTCCTCTCTCTAGAAAGAAGACCCCTAAAGGAAGACATATATGTGAAGTGCACATTGTAATCAGTGTTATCAAAGGCCCAAAGCGCACTAAGGCAATAGAGGTCCTTTGGAGCCTAGGCGCAAGGTCAGGTGCGCACCTGAGTGAAGCGAAGCGCACAATTGAAAATTTAAATTACTAGTAAAGAATTCATGTTCCATATTAAAAGCGCAAGTGTTGTCAAGGTCGTATTCCATATTAAGAGCTGACCTCTAATTGACGAGCTGTGTTTATGATCTGTTTTTTGTACACATAATAGACTATTTGGTGTAGTTCCTACATTCTTGAAATTTACTTGAACTGTATTGACAGATCTAGCCTTGTGTCCATATAAGAAAGGAACTTCTAATTAGTACTGATTCACACATGATTTAGATTTCATTCTATAAAAATGACAACAATTTGAAAAATAATGATGTGCATAACCACATAAAATCACTGAAACCCATTTGTTCTTGGCCAAGGTTTCAACATTCACAGTTTAAACCGTGCAATTATGTGTTCTGAAGAATCATTATGATTTATTTTTTATTTTTTTGTCCTTTTTGAAATATGGCAAATTTTGAATATAGCCGTCGAAGTCAGGTTATGTGAATGAGTTGTTTCTTTTAGTTTCAATATATCCAGTAATAGTTTATTTTAGTGGATGAAAATTGCTAGTGTAAAGCAAGCATTTTGCTATTTATGATTTTCAATATTTTTCTATAAACTATTGCAGGCGCTCTACCATTTTTGATCCTATAATTTGTGTATGATGAAAGTTTTGGGGTGGTAAAATAGAAGGGTACTAGTGTGGATCATTTATTCAACATTATATTTACCTTGTAGATGCTGCCCATGGCTTCCTTGAGGAGGTCAAATTACCTTGCCATCTCCATGGTTTGTTCAAATTTTTTTCATATTATCTAGTTGCAAACATCGTCTTGCAGGTGTGCAATTAGTTATAGAATAGTTTTTTGATTTTATTTTAATAATCACAGTGAACAACATACATAGATTTTACAAATGATTTTATTTCAGCATAGAATTGTTCATTGTCCAGCTCCCAGAAAATTTTGACGCATCTTTTCTTGTGCTATGTTTGGTTGGAGGGAAGGATTGAGGAGGGATGGATGAGAGGGGGGATAGAATGACCTTTTCGTGTTTGGTTGGAGGGAAGGGAAGAGAGGGAGGAAGCAAGGAGGGATGAAGTATCCCTCCTTCCTTTGTGTTTTTCTATCCACCCAAAATTGGGGGAAGAGGAGAGAGAAAGAAGGATAAGAATCAACAAATATATAATTTACATATTTAACCTTCCTAAAATTGTCAAGTCACTTATTTTATTTTATTTTTTCAAAATGTAAGAAGGAGACTTGACTTACATTGTAAACAATTGGACTTGATAAATTATTACCCGAGCATGAGTAAAAAATTATTTGCACAACTTGCTGGTTCAGAGATCTCAATGGTATTGCCTAATTTGAAATAGATATCTAATTTTTATAATTTTATATAATGAGGGTATATTGGTAAAAATAATATAAAGACTTTCTTTCCCTTCCTTCTAACCAAACAAAAAAAATGTCACCCCATCCATCCTTTCTACCATCCAACCAAACAAAAAGTGAGGGAGACACCTTCCCTTCTCTAGGGATGCCTCATCCATCCCTTCCCCTCTCCCTTCCATCCATTTTTCCATCCCTCCAAACAAACGGAGCATCAGTTCTTATGTAGAATCTTAGTTCTCATTTGGATGGATATATTTGTGTTCTATCTGACCATCTAGCGACAGTTTCAGCATAGCTTTTGTTATGCTGCCATCATATAAAAATTCATTATGCTGTCTCAACAAAGTTGAAGTACTTAGCTTGCCTGTTGCAACAAGGTTGAGTCTGTGACGCATGTTGGTGTGAGACATGGATTTCACACACTGCTTGCTAACCTAGATATTGATAAGCACAGTGTTGTTGATCTTATTACTTATTAAATGAATCAAGCCCCTTATAGCATATGCATTCGGTATTCAAACTACTTAACATCATTCTATTTGGTCATGTGTTGTGTCACATGGGTTCTCCTATTCCTCTTAAAGCACTTGTGTCAACACGGCACTATGCGGGTATGGGTATGGTACGAGTCGTGAATTTAGAACTGACAGGCCAATTCCTTTACCTTCCAATTTAAGAGATGGATGGAATTTTATTTTCACCACCTTCCATTTAATGTTTCTAACTAAATATATTATAAAACAACAACAATATTATATAAGATAAGGGAGAGGGAGGCGGGCAAAAGAAAATGCAAGGGCAAGCCATCCGACCCATCCCTTTATGGTAGGAGGGAGAGGGAAAGGAAAAGGAAAAGGAAAGATCTGAAGGGAGGACTGCCCCGTTGGGGGGGGGGGGGGGGGGGGGGGGGGGGGGGCGTTGGGAGGGTCCTAGTTCTCATGAAATTACTTCTTCAGATTTATAAAATTATATATAATTTATAAATAGATACATGCATATGTAAATATAGATTCACACACACACAAATATCCATACATATATATAGTGCACAAGAAATTCTTGGAGAGTATGACGGTCAAATCACTCAAGATCCCTTCTCATTTCCTTCACTCAACCACACAACATGAGAAAATGCTCCTTCCCTTAGGTATACCTCTTCCTTCCCTCTTATTTTCCCTTCCATCTGCTTCTCCATTCTTCATACCAAAATGAACAAAAATGTATTTAAATGTACAGGACGTTCCTACATACCTTTTCAATTTTTAGACACATTTTTAATTCCTAGTATCATGAGAGTTGAAATTCAGGTAGGTTGGATGCATTGAAGCACACTAGCACTGAAATAAATTTACCTGAATCCAAGTAATAAAGGTAATTACCATGTTTAATGATATAATATTACATGCACAAAATTATAGAATTGTATGTCATAAACATATTTTTTGATAGCTGTACATATTTTGTGAAATTGCTTGCTTCCGTAGACCATGGAATCAGAAAAAACTGCTTTGTTTTCAAGTCCATTTACTGATTAATGTCCTGAAATGATCCGGAGAAGGGCATATGGTATAGTAGCTTTCTATTTTCTGATTTATCAACTTATAAGTGTTTACACCCTTCTTTGCATGTGTTCATTGCAGTGCAGCTATCATTACAGCATACCTGATGAAAACTGAACAGCTATCTCAAGAAGGTTTGAACCAAAGAATTATTTGTTTGGAGTATTGTGGGTCTGCACATTGGTCTGCTTGTGGGTTTCCATTTTTGCATGTTGCAGATCTGGATGGCGTTGTCAAGTTTCAAAATTATGGACGATTTAGTTCTCATTTTTGTTTTCTCGTTTGCTTTGTTTCTTTTTCCTTTACCCATTTACTGCAGATGCACTTGAATCCCTACGGCAAAGCTGTGAATTTGTTTGCCCAAATGATGGTTTCCTGGATCAGGTGGTACAAGTATCAACTTATGATTTATAAGACAGCATTACAAAGTTTTTTAGGTGTTTTCAATCTGCTTCAGTTATCATGGATTCTAAATATTTTCTTCTTCCTCTGCAGTTAAAAATGTTTGAAGAAATGGGTTTCAAAGTTGATCATGCTAGCCCGATATACAAACGCTTCCGTTTGAAAGTATTAGGTCAGATTTCGTATTCACTAAATATTATTTATTTTTTTGTTTATGCTTGATATTTTTAAAAGATCTTGTTACCCATTAGGTTGTGCATTGACTTATATTATATTTAAATTCTTAATATTTCAGTGGTATATAAACAAGTTACTTCTGGATAAACTTGTCACGTTCATATTGGCCATGACAAAAGTTTTTTGTTGGCTATATAAAGATACACAGGGAAAATTTACTTCTAGACAAACTTGTGTTGTTTTTAAATTCTAAATATTCGAGTAGTATGTAACAATTTAGTTACTTCTTTGAAAATATAGAAATTTCATTACATTATAGTGAGCGAGCATGGAGTATAGTAGGTTGCAAAAGCAGAATGATGAGATGCTAGTGGCAAGTGGCAAGTGGCAAGTGGCAAGTGGCAAGGACTATGTTATGCAAAGTTTTGTAGACTATAATATCTTTTATGATATAAGCATCTTCATTTAAAATATCAATTGTGAGTGGGTACCAGTCCATATTTTTTCCTATTAGTATTAGCACATTTAATAGTATACTCTGTTTCCATTTATATGTTTAGTTTGTATTTCATATCTGGAATGAGAGGTAAGGTTATATTTTTATTCTACAGTTCATTTTTTAAAGGAAAAATATATTTGTTCTGACTTCGGTCCAAACCGATAGAGAGAAACCATGTGACAGGCAATGGTGACTCATGATTACAGGTGATTCCTATAACCGCGGAGAGAAAATAGACAGTTCTAAATTTGGGGCTGATCCTGGTTTGCCAACAGAAGTAGTCTCCTCTGAGGAAGGAGAATCTCCGAATAGACAAATGGTTTCTACAAGAGCATACCGCTGCAAGAAATGCCGGAGAGTTGTTGCATTACAAGAAAACGTTGTGGATCATATTCCAGGGGAGGGTGAGACGTCCTTTGAGTGGCATAAGAGGAGAAGTGGTAATCCTTTCAACAAAAGTGATGAGATGGAGTGTTCATCCTTATTTGTTGAGCCCCTGCGTTGGATGACAGCAGGTACAAATCTTCACAGAATTCCCTTTTCTAGAATTTATGATATTTACGCTTAGTTCTGAATAAGGTGCAGACATGGATGTATACTACAACACAAGCCCTAACCAATCTGGGTTTTGAACTTTGTTGGCCCAATTTTGCTTGGTCCAACCCGGAAATGCTGATGCATGTTTTAGCATGTGACTTGCAGACAGAGCATCATTTCATTATCCTATTCGCACCTTTGTAGTTTTTTTTTTTTTCCTTCATCGCCTGATTCACCTTAAGCCAAGTTGGTTCGGTTCAGTTTTTGTCTTTCTAAACAACAGCTCAAATGAGCCCCATCTTCAATTCATCTATTTCAACTCAAACGTCAGCCTAACAATGGTGGCAGTATCTCACACATATATGTTGTAATTTGCATGTGCATGTTCTAAAAGATGAGGTTTTTGATACGTTTTTTATCTTTTTCTATCAGTTGAGGAAGGTGCATTGGAGGGCAAGCTGTCATGTGCGCACTGCGAAGCCCGCTTAGGCTACTTCAACTGGTCAGGCATCCAATGCAGTTGTGGTAGTTGGATCACACCAGCCTTTCAGCTCCAGAAAAACCGAGTCGACATCAGCAGTGTCTAAAATATCTTTAATACAAAAGAAAGGCCTATCTCACAATCAGAACATAAAAGATGCTTGCATTTGGGTAATATATACCCATCCTCTACCTAGTAACAATCTTTAACTGTGGTATTATAACTTTATCGCAAACAGACAACTCTAAGTTTTTTAAGATCCTGTTGGGGAGGGGAGGGGAGGGGAGTGGAGTGGATGTTCCCGTTAGTGGTATATCAGCTCAAGATTTGTCTTTTTAACATATACAGTCCAATTGCCTTTGGCCATACAAACCATTTGTTTTTTATTATTATATTATTATTTGGAAATGATGGTGTAAACACTAAAATATCATCTTTTTCATGGTTGTTGCTATATATCCATAGAGCCATTGCATGGAGAAGTTTAATAATGAAAGCAATACCCTTGTAGGCAGCAACTCTATTTTAAGTACTTCAATGGTGCTGTCATTGTTAAGTAAATCATAGTCCATTTTTTCTTGGTTCAGTGAGTTGGAGTTATTGGACAATCCTACTTTGTATGAACCTCTTCCACGATTGAAAGTGTCGTTATTTTATGACATATACATTGAACTTGAACAGTAGACCTTGCGAAATTGTTTCCCGTAAAGAGAAAACTTGAACTTGAACAGTATATCTTAGTAAGAGAGAACCGAAAAAAGAAAACCCACTTCACAACCTTTTTTCTTTTTCTTTTTCTTTTTTCCCCGAGGTTGATAGTAGTTACTAGTTCAAAGCTGCATAAAAAACGCAACTTACAACAAAATCGCGCTTGATTAATTATTAAAAACACTTAACACCTTGCTGCTATAGCCCATCAATTACATACAACGAGTATTCTGCACTCTTCGTTGCTGCTGCCCAAAATGACCTGGATATTAAACATAATCCTTTACAAAATGGTAAATAAGTTTCACGGTAAAATAGAGTCAGCAATTATCTTCCCAAAATAAGTCAAAAACAATTAAGAAAATGCCATTGTCAAACCTATCATAAGATCCACTATATATTCAAAAGATGTTCTTTGTTCTCAATTATATTTACCACTCTTCTTGACAGCATTCGTTCCTAAATCATAGTTTTTCAATCAAATTACATCTCCCCAACTAAAAATAAGCCCTGCTTTTGAAGCATGACATCCAAAGTGCATGAGCAGCTCTGTTTTAGGGGACACGGGAAACAATTCCTCAAACATGTCAGCACATTTATCACTGATATCTACCATCTCAAATAATTGGGGACCAAAAAAAAAACAGAGAAGTAAACCCCGAAGAAGATTACCATGACTGCGTCAACGAGTTTCTTGGAGCACCAGATTGTTCCAGTATAGAAAAAGGCAAATTTCTTCCATCACGCACTGGTAGGTCTAGTCTCTGTTCCAAATCCAGGTTTCATCTTCAAATCAAAATTTCCACTAGTGTGATTGCTGTTCAAGAAGGATGTTAGTAGCTGTATTGATGTCATTTCTAGCCTGCATAAGTGCTTGTCTGGCAGAGTTTCTGTCAAAACCCATTGATACTAGCGTAGAAACAGAGTCCTCTGGTGGCTCTGTGGTAGAAGATATGGGAGCAGGGTAGTTTCCCTGAAATCAAGCAAGGAAATTAAGTGCTTTCAGATGTAATGGTAAAGTGGACAGAATAATTGCTATCGCCATCAATATTTTAAATGATATCAAAGCAGAAATGTTAAAGAAGATCTATATCTCAAACGCAAGATTCAATTGCATGCATGAATGAAAAGGATGTTCATGAAATCCTGACTTGGTATTTGTTAGGAAACTTTTTAACGCTCCCTAAACAAAGAGCAATTTTATTAGCTTTCGAAACAGTAAAAGCCAAGCCTGTATTCTGAACGCCACCTGACTCAGCTAAAGCTTTCCAACTCGGTCTTAAAACACTTGTAATGTCACAATTGACTTCAAATTGATAGGCAGAAATTTTCCAGCAAAAAAGGGCTAGCTCAATGCACGAGGCTCCCACCATTACAGGGTCTGGAGAGGGTCAGATGTACGCAGTTAAGCGGTGAGGCAAAAAATAATTTTCTAGAGTTTCCCCGACTTGGTCCACTCAGAAAATGACCACTCAACCGTAATGGGCAGGATAGCTCAATAGCAAATGAAATTTTTAGCAATTTGCATTAAAATTGTGTGTTGTCCAATAGAGATTTAATAAGCTGTTCAGGGACCCAGAATTGAGATTTAGTGATCCTAAAATTCTATTCTCACCACCAAAAGAAAAATAAAATGTTGGCCATTAACCAGTGTGGTTCCTCAATTTCTGGTGCTAGGAAGGTCGGCATTTTACTAACCTGAGTTGTGGCTTTATTCACACAGAGAGCCGCTGCCCTCAAACACAAATCGAAGTTTTTCACGTTGTGACAAGAAGCTGGGTGTTTACCTTGTACCAAGCAATGTCCACCCCCCCTCCAAGAAAAAAAGACACAAAAAGCCCAGGACTATGCAGACTAGCATTCCAACACCTAAGATGCTAGATATTGTTTTAACTCAACTCGATTGCCCTTTTCATGGTTTGAAACCCCATGCGTCATTCACCAAAAACATGTCAGTTACCGATAGAAAAGCATAGCAGAGAGAGAGAGAGAAGCAATAATAAATCCAATACAAGTAACAGGCCCTTCAAAAGTTGATCCATTTCACTGATCTGCATTGGAGTCATTTCCTCCATGTTAGATACATGACAATGACAACTACTGTACACGTGAACCAAAGATTTGTTTCATCCTCAGTTGATAACCCCATTCTGTTTTACCTGTCACCAACTTTTTGGTTTCTTCAATCATTATGATAAATGCCAATATCAATGAAACACAGTTCAGGTTGGATCCCCAACCTAACAATTAAATTCTCGAAAAGAAATTGTTCAAATGAGCATGAACTTACATACAGAATTCAATTGGCCATACCTAAGAAACATTACATATAGCCAGAAAGGAATCTACTTCACTAAAAGAAATGTTTATTTGTACAAACATTTTAACTTTAAACATATGGAGCAAATCCAGGCAAAAAATTTATGTTTTAGATTTAACAGCCTAACAGGCATCGACAGGTAGGACAAATAACTCAAAACAGTAGGACGTACAAGTCCACACAAATTTCATGCAGTAGTCAGCTGTCAAAATGAAATTGACTTCTCAAAAAATTGAGAAGTATAAATTTCTTTGTGATGCAAGAGAACTATACTTCATTGCTGACAGAATAACTCACAAATTATTCAGACATCATGGTCGATGTTATGAATTCACCATTTATTCTTTTAGTGCATTATTTTACCTAAACAATTCATCGTGGCAACATTACTGTTTAGTTTCCAACAACAGAAGCGAACTGGGTTCAAATTATATAACTTCCAACTTAATCAGGTAACTGAATTATTTTAACCAAGTCTGGAATGCTAAACTAGGGGGAATCACACATGATCATATCGAGACGAGGCAGCTGAAAGAGACGCATGACACCAAACACCCCTCCTGAAAGTCATGTCCTTGCCTCGTTAGACAACCATCCACTTTCCAAGACTAGGATCCTGCACTTTCATTTGCTGGTACTTGACCACAACTACGCTTATAATACACATTTATTTCTACCTGTGAGTGTATATAGTTAAAAAAAATGTTAAACAACAATCACCAACCCTCTTTTTTCAAGCACCCAACTCAACTCAACAAAATCTTCCCCTAATTATTTCCAGTCACCCACATGAAACATGTTCTGCTATATTATATTTGGTCTTCCTTTTTTGGTAGTATTAACCTTAATGTGGACCACATCACTCTTTGTCCAAATACACATGTGGCATTATGCCTAACCTTTGGGTTATAGGACTATTGTAAGCATTCTAGATGCCATTTTCTCGCATGCATGTTGGGTTTTGCAATTGGATTCAGTCAACCCTAGAACAAAAACTGGTGGAAGAAAGAGAGAGTGCGCATAAATAACTATATCCATATAACAAAGGACAACAGGAAATATACTTGCCTCGACTTGGCGACCTGGGTAGGATGGTACATTTCTCAGAACATTTCTACTTTGTGCCGCAGGTGATGTACTCCCAGTGGACGGCCAAGAAAGCCGTGAAAAGTATGAAGTAATGAACTCCGGAAACTGAAAAGGGAAAACATAGTTGCATAATTCCAAGATGCATATACTAAGCTCTAACAACGGCAAGAGGAATAAAGTTGACGTGATAAAAAATTTGGACCTACTCAAAATTATTATTATTATTATTATTATTTTTTAAAAAAAATTATTTGTTTGGAAGTTAAAGCAAACACACACACCTAATATCCACAATATGTCCTTACTCCTTAGTGGGACTCTAACTCTCAACCTTCCCCTTTCGACCAAAGGTTGTGTAGCCTAGTGGCGCTTCCTCACCTTCCAAAGTAGAAGGTTAAGGGTTCAAGTCCCCATAGGGGCATGTGGGGGTGTGAGTGTGTTTCTTGGGGGAGGAAAGATCATACATCTGGGCTAGAGGCCCGGTGGTAACAGGAGAAGAAAAATTAATGACTACATAAAACAACAAATACATTTCAAGAATAAATTTAAAAGCATTAAATTGACATTATAAAACACCTAATTTAAATTTACTGGTTAAACAAGCACACAAGATTGCAATTGCAATGCGGCAATCACGGTATAATTACTGTACAGATCGTAAATATAAATTAGATCAAAATGAAAAGGAAAAAAGCTCTTACCTCTAATATAATGAAGAATATACAGAGAGTTTGGATGAGAATTTTTTTTGAGATAAATTACTCTATATAAACTGTGGGAAGAGTTATCTAGCTAGGTTCTTTAAATACATTTTACTATTTGTCTATGTATTAAACATTTTTTTAGGTTAATAAAGAAGGATACAGACTAGAGACCAAGCTGGAAGCAAGAACCAGGCTTCATATATTGGCATAGAAAAACTCTATCTATGAAGATGTTTATCTCTCTCACGTGATCCTAAATTTAATTCCTCTCCAATATTTGCAAGATATCTAGATAAGTGAATCAGGAAAAAAAAAAAAAGCAATCATGTAGACTAGTAGAGACATTCAATTGATGAAGGAACTTCTTTTTCAGTTTGTCATTTGTTCACAGATGTTATTTTGTGGGGAAGAGAAGCAGCTGAGATATGTGAGACGTTGCTTCTGTGCTGCTAAGCAACATCAAATTTGAGAAATAACCGAGCTACGTCAGCAGTCACTCTTTCGGAGAGAGGGAGGAGCTGGGTCATTTGGCGACCATATAAAGTGCAAGGTTGGAAAGTTCCCAAGCGCCTATCTGGGGTTACCCTTTGGATCTTTCAGTAATGTTAAAGGCAGTTTAAGGCTCAGTGGCGTGGCACTTTAAGAGGAGATCGGTAAGCTGGAAGCCTGGAAGAGACATTACCTACTGAATGGAAGCAGACCTACTCTTATAAAGAGTATTATGTCCAGTTTGGCCAGGAAATGATGGATAAGTTTTAAAAAGATTTCTTTGGAAAGTACAGGGGAAGAGTTGAATCAGTGTGTTTTTCAGAGATAAGAGGGTTGGGAATCAAATATTTTAACTTATTAAATCACTTTGCTGGAAAAGTGGTTGTGGATATATATCAAAGGAGAGAATGGTTGTGAAGGAGGATGGTTGGCATATGACACGTTCGGATCTCCTGTGAGATGGGGTCATGAAAAGGCGTTCAGAAATTATTATTATTATTATTATAATTAATTTTTTTATTATTTTTTTTTTTGGGCTTTGGGGGGGGGGGGGGGGGGTTTGGGGTCATCTAAGCACACAGTTTCCAAATAAGAATGAGAGGAAAATCAAATTTTGGTAACCATTTGATGTGATCAACGCTCTATGAAGCAAGCATTGCAGAATCTTTCCAAGAACCAGTGGATAACAAGGCTCTTGTTGCTGATTGAGTGATTGCTTTACAGAATTAGAGCGAGGGGTGGTAATCTGGGGTGCCAGTTTGTTAGAATTGTACATGATTGGGAGTTGGATACTCGTTAATGTCCTTTGGCTTGTTATATTCCAAACATTGAGAAGGAAAGCCAGCCTGATTTCCTTTCGAAGGCTGTTTGGTGTGCTAAGCTCTACTAAGGTTGCTTTATTTCAGCTGGTTAAAAGTTTTTGGAAAGATCCTCACAATCGATCGTTAGAAAGTGTCACATCATAATCAATTGGCTCTATCCGTGCCAAAGGAATGACAAGTCAGTGAGCCACTCATCAATCAAATGTCCACTCGCAACAAATCTTTGGGGCCTTCTATCTTTCAGACCGATGAGAATCTAGATAGATGGAAAGGACGCAGTGGGTAGAAGAGTTAGAATTGTGTGACAGGTAGCTCTGATTTGCATTTAACTGAGCATTTGGAAAAGAGGAACAGGCATCCTTAAAAGAGGTGGAGATGCCTATTTGGAAACTGAAGCGTAAGATGTAACATGTGTTCCCTCTATGCATATGTATCCACCGAGACATACAGAGAATCCACATTGTTGCGATCATATATAGACACTAGACTGGGCTAATTTAAACTCACACTTCTCTGTTTTATCTTTACTAGTAAACTCTACATCGTACAACTACTCAGAGGATGCTGTCAGCTGAATCAGATAATTTTAAGTTGAATACTTCAACAACCAACAAGGATTACTAAATTATCATGTAACTTCGCTGACATTGAAATCTAAGAGTAGAAAAGGAAAAAGAAACGAGAATTTTAAAACAACTATCAGAACAGGACATAACCTTCATCCTGCGGATATGAAAGACATTTAAACGATATAAGGAACCAGCAAGAATGCCGCATATCCCCGGTAAAATAGATCTTTTCCAGGATGATAGAAGAAGCTGCAAGATAGAAACTCAAGTTAAAATGGAAAGAGAGCAAGGAAAGTAAGGATAGGGAAGGGCAATGCAAATAAAAATTTTACATTTTGATAAGCTTACATACCATGAACAAACAAAATAAATTATGGCTGCAATAGAATTTGAATTACCTGGAGACCAGCTAAATAAATGAAAGACTTGTCAGAGAAGCGAAGGACAAATACACGGAACCGCGTTGAAACTGGAATGTCGAGGTAAAATGGTACAAATAAAGAAAATATAAGTCCATAGGGGCCAGATGTGATTACACTCGAGGTGGGATCTGCAAAAGTAAAATAAAGAAGACTGAGTTTGAAATTTTAAAAAATAAATAGTAGATTCCACCTATTTGGTCATAGCACCACAAAAGCACCTAGTAAAACAGAAATTATTTTAAGAATACTGAAATAATGAAGTGTACTGCAAAAAGATAATATTCAAGAGAGCCAGGCGGGGAAAGAAAAAAAAAATAAAAAGGCCAAGGAGCTGTTTGAAAAATACTGAAAATTAAATACTTAAGATTTTAGTGCTTAACTGGTACACAGAAAACTTCAAGAACTGATTCTTAGAATTAAAATTTTAAGGGTTAACATCTCATTTCGGGTTGGTATTTAAATATTCTTTTCACTGAGCCTATTCAACATTCAATGGCAAGTCAAGTCTCTCCGATTTAAAATTAAGATCTTTTTAAGTTAACAATTTATTAAGTGGTAGCCACTTATGTGTTAAAAAAACGCACATAAGAAGAACCACTAAATTTCTTTCAGTTGTAGACAAGACTTATTACTTATCAATATATATATATATATATATATATATATATATAAAAGTTGTTGACAAGAATTATCAAACAGGCCCCTAGTCATGGGAAAAACCTATCTGGTAAACATAGATGCTAACAACATAGAATTTTATACACGAACTTTCTTTGTATCTGCTCCCCTTTTTGCATGAATGCAAGTCCAATAATATTACAATATTTAGGTCTGGGTGAATGCAACCCATGTACAAGATATATAATGGAAGGAGGTAAGCAAGTGAGATTATATTACAGAAGGGCAGGTTAATTTAACAAAACCAAAAGTGGGTTATTAAAGTGATTTGTAACACGTTCCATGACCAAGAACTAATGATATTACAATTGTAATTTCATTATTCAAATTATATGGATTGTATACCAAAAGAAAATCATATGGAACTGTAATGAACATTGTATACCTTTAAGAAAGGATAGGGCAAGGAACTCAAACAGTAAAGACATGATTACAGACAACAAGATGAACACCTGCAAGACAGAAGGTAGATCTTGGAAAGTTAAAATGCATGACAAAGCAAAAAGAAGAATCATTCTCTCATTTGTTAAAAATTTTTGAGGGGAGAGTATTAACAAATACAATAGAGATCGTCAACCATTCACACCAACGAGAACCTCATTCAATACTGTTACCAGAGACACACTGTTCCTGTTAAATTTCTTTGCAGGAAAAGCAAAAGCAACCAGATAAAGTAGAACGGTTAACATAAAAGGAAAACAAAATTTTAAACAGAGTAAAATCAATAACAGCCCATAGAGAATTTAGAATTACTAATCAAGTTGGAAAATCTTTTTAAATAAGAACAATTGTGCCTGTTTGACTTCATATAAACTTAAATTTACAGAAAATTAAAACAATGTGATACACAATCTGATCTTCAGTTATCAACCTATTATACATCCCGGAAAGAAAGGCAGCAGGGGTTAGCAGGGATCAAGATCAAATCCTAACACTACCCACAAGAGCTTTGACTTTTAATTTTGTCAAGATGACTAAACTGGTACATTAAATGGCTTGATACTTGTCATATCAACCCAATTCCAAATAGGAAACGTAAGATGTCAATCAATTATAAGCACAGGGGGTCAAAGGAGAACTGATCAACCAATTATAAGCATGGGATCAAAAGGATAGTCAAACCAATTCGAGCATCCAAGTCACATAACAAATTTTATTAAAATGGCTATTTCGCTGACAATGGTTAACTTCACAAGAATTGTCTGTAAGGATCCTTCCACAACAGCCCTAAAAAATAGTAACTAACCAACATTTGATTAATATTCAAATCTTATATAAACAAAAATCCAAACTTCATCCTCTTAAAGAGAATATGCTATCATTTATGGCAAAAGATTCACTTCACCAGTCCTAAGTCTCGTAGATAAAACAATCTAGCAGTTAAATTACCCACACCAACAGAATGATCAATCAGGTAATAAAAAAGTTCAAAACTAAAGTGGGCTCGGGAAGTAGAAGTTTATTATTGTCAACTTCTCAAAATTGATTGATTAAAACAAAAATAAAAAATTAACGAATGACAAACACTGTCACAATCTTTGGTACTCCGTGTCCATGGCATAAAATAATATTAGGGTCCTGCCCTTGCCCTTGCCCTTGCCCTTGCCCTTGCCCGTTTTCAACAAATTTATATTTTCAAAAAAGAAAGAAAAAAGCGAATTCCTCTTCTTGAAAGGAAATTGATCCTCAAGGACAAACAAGTGTTTAGAGGGAACCTCTCCTATTATCTATCAAGGATATCTCCCACTTGCAGCAAATCAAGTGCAGTAAATAAATGACTAATTGAGGCACCATGGAGACCCTCTTTTCTGTTCTATAACTTCTATACATCCTAAAGAAATTGCATCAGAATGCTGACAGTACATGAAGTGGTAGATTAAAAATTTTAAAGTATATCCTCTAAATTTAGTTAGAAACAAAGTGTTGATGATCAATTTTCTCAACTATGTAATTGAATAAATTAAGGAAGTAGAACGAGTAGTTTGGCATGAAGAATAACTTACCGAGTACTTATTAGACCCTATCTGTCTCTCAAATACCCGAAAGTAATACAGCAAATATAGTCCGAATATCAGCTCCGGTGTAGATGAAAACGCAAAAACTGACACTATTAGCTTCCAGATATTAAGCTTCTTGAAAATATTCTGTTGCAAGAAAAACAAAATTAAATAACTAAAAGCTGCATCCTGAATAGAAATATATAGACTTCAGAATTAGTACAAGACATTTGTGATAGGGACAATCATATTGTATATGAATCATAAGTAGCCAAGAGTAACATGTGCATCCTGTCCTACAAGAGATACATCAAAGTGAAGGAACAGTAATTAAGAGCAAAAAGAATGAGACAAATGTTCCTTCTATATTGTTTTATACAATTCAAACACAAGCAAACCATGAATTGTCATTTGACAAGCAATCTACATATCAGATACATCAACACAAACAAAACATGAACGCAAATATATATGGTTCAAGAATCTCAATATGATTTAAAGTCTTCTCACTTTGACGAGCACCACATTACCAACATTTTCCTAATCTATTGGTTACACAACTAAAACTTATATTTAGATATGATTAAGCATACTAAAGTCTAGCAACCCACCACAATTAGCAAGCACCCTACCAAATTGTAATTTAAACCATGCTATCCAAATTCCAAAATGTTGTACACTTCCATTCCCAGAAACAAAATTTGGCAACCCAAGGAACTGTTGGTTTTCCTCCTTATATGCACTTCTCGTAAGGCAACATAAAAAACATGAACCAGCCATATTAAAAATAGAACCTTCTTTAGACAAAAGGTCAACGGGCACAACTCATCAAGAGACTGCTAGGGGGAAAAATAGTTTTATGCCCTTATAATTCTTCTTCATATTAGACATGTTTCCAAAAGTGAGTTATCGTATATATGTTAAAAACCATCGGTGCATAACACTTCTCAAAATTAGAGCCACATGATACAAAATTTCCTTAACTTCCCCAAAAGCAATTCATAAACCATCGAACTGACAACACTGGAAACCATGCCCCTAGCCCTTCCCCACCCAAACACACAAAAAGTAAAATGAGTTTAAACTTAATAGAGAGAGAAGAATAACAAATTTAGGAAAATAATTCTACAGTGGTTCAAATCTCCATTCTACTCCACCAGTGAAAAAACCCAACCAGTCCATTCTTGACCAGAGAAACCACAAAATATGCCAATAAAAAGCAATTTTAACTGTGGGAACTGAAACAAATGAGGCATAAATGATGGATCAAAGACGCTGACATTGAAGCCAATAATATCATGATTTCAATGATTAAAAATAAAAGGAGAAGTAGAAGAAAAATTAAGCAAGATAGGTTTAAAAAATACTTATTGAAGCTAACATTGCAAAAGAAGACAAAACTCGTATCCAGTCTATACCTAGAAGGTCATAATTCATCATCTAAAATGCTATTTGTTTATTCTAAGTATCCAAAATGCTATTTATAAATGTAAAGAAAACAGCGACAATCCACAACAAGTTTTAATCGGAAGTTACATATCAAAGCAATGAATGAGTAACAAGACAAGATCATTGCTCATATTGATAACAAAATTAATATAGAAAACAAGTACGCAGCAGAGCTCCAAATTTGATTCAACTTCCTCTATCTTAAGACACAAAACAGATTTTCAATCACACAGGCAAGTGGAAACTAGTTATCATCAATAAAGTGCTCCTCTATGGTGGCAAAATATTTTGATGACCAATGACTAAAGCAAAGATATGCCAGGATTAATCAACACTAAACAACAAGTCTTGCTCCAAACTAATTGGGATAGGGTTACATGGATCCGGCACCTCCAGGCTCCAGTGGCTCTTTCTAAAGCCATCTCACTGTTTAAAAACAAGGCAGCCCTGTTCTTTCTCACAGCCTCAATCCACATTCTTTAGGGTTCCAAGAAAGGTTTAACTTATGTGCATTCAAGAAAAAAAAACAAAGTAGATTAAAGGATCAATTAAAGATGAAATGAATGACCTACAGAATTTTGATTTTGCTCAAACACAAAACTCATTCAGTACTGTGTTGCGAACTATACACTAAAGACCAAGAACATAAAACCCTCATGCTATATTTGGCAGCACCAACAGGGCGCATTGGAGAAAATTTAATACAAAATTTAAACTAAACTTCCTTCAACCCTAAATCCAAGTCACCAATTCGGTGCTCCCAATCATAATGTCAATAACCTCTTATGATGTTAAAAAATTTATAGATCCCCCATGTCACATTCAGTAAAGATTTGTGATAATACATCATGTATAGGGTGTATTCAATGTGTCCGAGCTTGCCCCACAGATACAGGTGTATTAGAAACGATACCAAGAACAGAAAACTCTGTCCATTTGCAGATACATATAAAAAATTAAAAAATAATAATAATAGGTAGAAATGTAAATTTAAAAATTAAAAAAAAAAACGAAAAAACAAAATGGGCTAACGGATGAATTAAAAATAAAAGATGCCCAAAAAGAGAGAGTACCTACCAGGTAAGATAACCCAAGATTTTTTGAACGACCTCGGATCCCAAAAATGATCGTGAATAGGGCACACGCAATAACAAATGTTCTTGTGACGGGAGCATTGTCTAGGACACAGACAAGAAGAAGAGAGAATTATTAGGTATAGGATCTCCTGTTGGTATAGGCATAGATATACATACACACACATATATATATATCGTCAAGAACTGAGTAAAAGTAAAGAGAAAAAAGAAATTGCAATTTCTAATAAAATTACGTACTGAAACCAGATGGGCCGCCGTTCATCTTCGAAGTGAACCAACGACTTATCTCTCTCTCTCTCTCGTTATTCTTCTCGGGAGTCTTTGCTACCTGCTTAGGTAGGACATCTAGCAGACGGAGTTGGGTCCTATTCGGTGACTATAAATTCTCATGTTTGTTAGAATTTTTTTTAAAAAAAAATAAAAAATGGAAAATTAAGGAAAAAAATAAATAAAAGAGGAAAAATTGTAAAAATAAAAGATTGATGTTTTTCTCCATATTTTCCAAATTCCTATAATAAAAAATTGGAAAATTATGAAGAAAATAGAGGAAAAGATTGATTCTTTATATTTCAAATTTTTACTTTTGAAATTTTATCATAAAATTCATATGATGTGTTCCCATTTTCCACCTTTTTTTTTTTTTTATCAAAAGATGTGTGTATATATATAAAATTATTTGCATCTACCAGCATGTTTGCTTTCTTTGTCTCCATGTCTATCCGCATATTATTTTAACCATTATAATATTTACTTTCATTCTATTTTCAAACAAATAAAATAAATAAATAAAACCTTACCAAAAAATAAACAAACAGCTTTTTTATTTTGGTTTTTTCCTTTTAATTTTTTATCCGTTGAGATAAGAGATACCAATAGAATGATAGTAAATTCAAACAAAAATAGAGAGTAGCCTATAAAAACTATACATTAATAATTGAGATTAAAAATAGAAGTTCTGTTTTTTTTTTTTCCTTTTTATAAGTGAGAAAATAAGATATATTGGCAAAAAAAATAAATTTGCAATTTTATAAATATTTTATAATAATTTTACAATCATTAGGATGTGATTAAAAAATTGTAACATATATAACCAAATGATATATAAATGCTACTGTATTTTTACCATAATTTTTGTATTAGCATTAAGTGGTTGAACGTCGAGTGATATGTTGTGTGAATTTCTTCTCATAACCAAAACCAAGGGTAGGAAGTAGTGAGAGCCACGTGTAATTCCAGCAGTAGAAACATCCTAACATTTGGAACATGTGATCTCCCATGACTTGCTCAATTTAACTTTTGAGAGTAGTAGTCAAGTCATTAGTATAAGGATAAAGTGTAAAAATTAAAATTTTGTTCGAATTATTGATTTATTGCAACGAGTACAAATACATCCCAAAAAAACTATTTTATTCTCTTTCGTTAAGTCATTTCTTATTAAATTATTTTTGTTATCTTTTATCTTATAAAAATATTAATTATATTATTTTCCTTCTTTTTTTCATAAATATTATTTACCTTAAATTTATTATTAGTACCAATTTATCATAAAAAAATGACAAACTATAGAGATTTGTAATTATCATTTTTTTAAATGATTAACTTATTAATAAAATTTTATTATTTATAATAAAACTTAATATACTCAAATCTTTTTTACTTTAAAAAAATTCCTTCTTTTTCCTACAACATATTGATGAAAAATTAATAAATTACTTAAATAAATAAAAAATATCTTCTTTTCATGCAATATATTCATGAAAATTAAAAAATTAATTTTAAAATTTTGTACTTAAGATTTTATTTAAACAATTAATTTTAAAAATTAAAGTTAAATATATGCAAATTTAATGAAGAATATGTTATTAAATTAGTATGAATTTTTTTTATAATTTATTTCAATAGAAAAAATAGATTAAGTTTATTTTAATAAGAAAAGACATTATGATCATGTAATGAAATATAATTTAGACATTAGAGCATTTCGTAACAAAATATAATAATAAAGAGAGTATCATGTACAAAATATAATTTAGCAAGATAATTTTCAAATTCAAACATAATTTATGAAATAAAACATATGGTCAACAATGAATCACTTGACGCTAACCACATGGTCTGCACACCCAATACCTGCGCATTGATGATGTAGCGCTGCCATGTGGGCTAAAATATATTGGATACCTACCAAACATGCAGCCCTAATTTTGACAACTCAACAGCGTAGGCTTCAGCAAGCAAGTGATTGGTACAAGCCCACAATAAGAACTTTCAAGGCAAGTAATTCTCCAAAACACCCTTTTATCACGTGATATAAGTAATGCCAATAACAAATTGCATTTACACCTAAAAAGACAGAAGGGTACGATCAGAAGTAGCATGCTTCCAACACAGTAGTATAACAAAAAGTAGCTAAATATCACAATAGAAGTACAAAAATATTCCATGTGACTTCTCAAAGACCTAATCCGACAGTGCGGCCATCTCTTCGACGGAGTCCAGCAGTGTATTGCTTCTCTAGATCCAGCTGAAGCTCTTTCTGCTTCTCCACTATGCCATCCTGGTCGTCGGGTTTTTGCTCCATTTTCACCTCGCCCTTCACACCCTACAATTGGCCATAGGTACCAAGGCAACCTCAGACTCTAAAAGTGTGTTAGTAAGTTGGAAGACGTTCTAATTTAGGGAACAACTCAATCAGGAACAAGTAATGAAAGGTGCATCGTCTTAATCTGCGGCTTATATAACTTAAACAATAGACCAAATAAAAAGAAACGGGAATTACCATGAGTTTGTTGAATTTTTCTTGTCGTTCACGATCAGAGAACAATGCTGTATCCCAGCGATGAACAGGCTGCATATATTTGAGAAGGCAGTGCATGAATGAACATGCAGAAATAAGATTAAAAAAACCGACAATATCTGAAAGCATTCCATAAGACCAATAACTTTATTGGTGTCGAGGATTTTGAGCCATCTGATTTATAAGCTTTAACGGTACTATCAAAAAAGTTATTGTTGTTGCCTGTATAACAAACCAATAAGCTTTTACAGTGATATCAATAAAGTTATTGCCGTTGTTTATATAACAAACCAAGTTCAAAACTTTTTACAAATATTAAACCATCTAAGTCCTTCCCCGAGGAGCATTACTTGTAGGTTATGTTCTCCCTCTCTTTATTGGCATACAAGTTGCCAAAGAGATGGAAGTACTAAGACACATTGCAAAACATAAAAGAAGATATGACCTTAAAATGAAATAGAAATTATTAAGTACCTCTTCTGCAGTAGTATTCTTTTTGTTCCCCCACAGCAGCTTCTTCTTTTGGTCGGTGGACAAGTAACCCGTCCCAATAAGGTTCCTATTAACTGTGTTTTCATTCCAAAAAAAAATTCAAAATCAGCTGATTTCAAGGGTGTAAAAAGCTCATTGGTATATAGCATTGTTTGAGTCGCTATTTTGGGTGCATTTACAGACTCACTATTTAGGGCATTTACACTAAATAAAAATAGAACCATCCAGGATGTAGCCATTTGAAAATTTGGAGCGCCTTAGATGATGGTAGAATACTTTATGATCAGTTATTAAAAAGCTGCCAAAAATAATTTAAAAGTAATCACTTATACACGGAACAGACAAATTCCGAAAGCAGGTGGGGAAATGGCAATTCAAATGGCTTTGACACCCAATCCAGTGATCTATTTTTAACACAGCCCAGACAAGCCCCCCACTGAACTATTCAATTAATAATAAAAGCAAGATCGAGTAAAACCTTGAGGCAGCCCCATGTGTGAGTCAATGTAAATCAAAGTATAAGATCAAGAAACCAACAAAGCATTTGCCCAAACAACAGGATGACACAAAATCAGGATTCAAATTCGAAATGGCAATAATAACAAATCCAGCCATCTGGAAAACAGACAATGAAATTGACTCGGAAGTGTTAAGTGCCGCCATATTTTTATGTTTTTTTTTTTTTTTTTCATTTTTGGGTGGGGGGTAAAATTGCAGGTAAGATTGCTGATTTATATCTATCAGAACATCTTTCACCTTTTAGCAGTAACACCCTCCTTGCAGCACATCAACATGGAAAGAACATTAGAAATACCTTCAGGTTACATGTAAGATAGGCCATCAAGAAAATTTTCAACAATAAACAAGGTTTGAAGTCAAAACCTCCAAATCATTTTGATAGCAAACACTGAAACAACTTTAAAAGGAAAGGAAGAAAAATAAGCTGGACACTTTTTATCAAACATTCCAACACCCCCCCCCCCCCCCCCCCCCCCCCCCCCAAAAAAAAATATATATATATATATATATATATATATGCATATTATAATAATGATGATGATGATGATGATGAGAATATGTGCATGTGAGTGCTATACTATCATCTGAAAAGATTATTTAAGCTGAGCATTCAGCGGAAGGGCAATATTCCATTAAAGATGGGCACTTCGATACCTCCAAAATGGCTTCCCCTATCAAACAAATTATGCCATGTTAATGACCATATGCACCTTCAGGGAGACCTTTCACTAATGCTTAACCATATAAAATAAATAGTTCCATAGCAGTTGGTCCAACCTATATTAAATCAAGAATGACCAAAAAGATTTTCAGAAGTGAGTTACCTGTCACCTACTGTCACACCTCAACTTGCCACTAGTGAGATGGGCGAGTTTTGTCTCTTACAGTTTCTGAGGATACTACCAGTATGTAAGTGAAAGACCCATCTGGATTAATAATTAGAAGACAAAATGGATTACTACTGATGAGATGGGCAAGCATGATCAAAGCATCCTTCAAAATACCCACACTTTGATTAAACATATAATGGAACTTTAGGTCAACTTGATTAACAAATAATGAAACTTTCGGTAAGATGGTCATCGGACGCTGTAGGCTAAAAAATCCCCCAAATTAAGAAGCCAACCAAATTGCTAAGAGAGATACAATAACATGAGATTTCTATAATCGGCCTTCTCTATGCGCATAAATGCCAACCAAACCTTCTCTTATTTCTTTAGAGTCGTTTGCTCTTTTTCTCATCCCTTTCCTTTAGTGAGTTCTCCTCCTTTTCTGTTCTCTCCCCACCCCAAATTCTGCACAATTTCTTTTCTCATCTTTCTCAAAAAAATGCAACTACCCGGTATTAGTCCAGCCAGTGCAGGGTGCTTGAAGGAATAGACTGAATAAGACCTAAACGTTGGCATTATTTGTATAAGGTGACTGCCCCTTCAAATTCAAATCTGCATTCACCCTGGGACAGCCCAGCCTTTACCATTGCACCAAGTAATGACACCTTTTCCCATGTTCCTCTAAAAAATAAATACAAGTCTGACACACATCTCTCAATTACTAAATATCATGCTGCAAAAACTAAATCCTTGGCAAATTTGTATAAAAATAATATCAATATGCATGAGATAAATTAAATAAAAAAACAGAAAACTTGTAATAATAAAGAACTTCTAGTGTCATATAAAGTCCACATATTTCCAACAAAAAATAGGCACATAATTATATGGAGATAATGCATACCTAATTCAGCAGCTTTCATTGCGGCAATTTTTGCAGCATCTATATCATTAGAAGCCTCAGAATCTTTCACATTGGCCTGCTCTGAAGTCATTTTATCAACAAATTCCTGACCTCGCTTTGAACTTGAAGAATGTTGTTCATCGGCTATGGTTGTAAACTTCGAAACTAATGATCAATGATCATAATGCAAAATTATAATAATGACAGGAAACAACAGAAGAATGATTGGACAATAAATGCAAATACACAATAGAACAAACAAAAAAATAATTAGGTCTTATAATATATAACAATCAACCCTTTTTCCAACCCCAAGTAGTTAGGAAAAGGCTAGATTGTTGTTGTTGCTGCATAAAATAATTCAGTGCTTACCACGTTTCTCATAATCAGTGCCTGAGTCCAAGCTAAATTTTGGCTTCTTGGCAGCCGATTCTTCATTTCCATAGGTAAAAACAGTTTTACCTTCAAACTGTTCCCCCGGTTCCCTATTGTATCTCTCCCTGTGCCTGCTAATTTCCAGATCATCATGTTTCTTTTTTCCTTCCTTGGTGTATTTTTGACCATCTAATTCCTTGGGGCTACTCTTAGACACTTCCTTCAACCTATGTCCAGAACTGTCTCTTCGTGAAGTTGAGTCATTCCGACGCCCCCTGGATTCTTCATAGGTGGGTGAACGATCACCTTTGTAATCCCCCAAACTCCTCAGATAGTCCCTCTTCTCATCTCGAACATCTTTATCCCCCATATGCCTATCCTGCTCTCCAGATTTAATTTCTTCAACGTTCAAGTTAGTGTGCCTCCTACCAGATCCAGCTCTGTCTGATGATAAATCCTTCTCTTTATATTTCTGATAATCACGAGATGAGGTCTCTCTCTCCTTATCCCTGCTTCGATGCCCTGAACTATCAGATTTTCCTTGGGAATACTTATCGATATTACGCAAATGGTCTCTAGATCTGTTATGCTCACTTTCACGCCTTGTATGATCAGAATGATCCCCGCCCCTCATCTCTCGACTAGAATGAGAGGATAACTTCGAATAATTTCTATCTTCATCATCCGCTTGCTTTTCACGTCTTCTGTAGTCATCGTGCCTATTGTAATGATGAGAACTCCGAGAGGGCTGTCGATTGGAATGTCTATATGAATTATCACTTCGGCCATACTGGCTCCTATCAGAATCCCTATCCAGTTCCCTCCTATCATCCTTTCTTCGTGGACGCTCAGAGACTTTCTCATGATCTTCCCTTGAAAGGATTGGGCTAGAGCTATGTTCACGGTGAGGACCCCCTGCATTTATAAAAGGTCATATAGATAAAAACCAAAATATTCATTTCCAGAATGAGCAACCAGTCCACCATATAACTATTCATGAGTTAGAGAATATGATCAACAATACGAAGAGCATTTCTTGTTCACAATTCGCACTTCAATCTTAAGAGATAATTGGATATACAATGTTCAATGATCAATTAGTTAAGAATTCTAATCCAAGTAAATTACTATTGGCAGTGAGGCAAATAGACTTCTTTGTTTGGCAGGAAATAGAAGTGTACTTCATCTCCATCAAAAACCATATTCCCCTACAACTATGACTTTGGTATATTCCATTTCCAGAATAACCCAGTAGCCTCATCAACATCAACAATCCAAATTGATACCATGATATTACGATACAAGAAATGTGCATACACTGGGAACTCGTAAGATACATGATGAGCAATTGAGCATTGACAAATCTGTTCAAGGAACTAAAGGTATAACTACAGAGAGTCAAACAAGATGAGTATTTGACTTTTACGCACACTCAGGGTTTAGAAAGAATCTCTACCAGCCCAAAGGCTAATATCAATTTTCTCTAATTGCTTAACTGCAACCATTCCATCCATTGGGGTATATACAAAAACCTTCAGCTCAACACTCTGGTCTCAAAGGACACCAAGCATAAAGCCATGCACTTCAAGGTAAGGCCCAAAGGCCTTAATTAAAGTATTAAACAAATTATTACTAATAATATTGATGACCATTAGTGCTCCAACATCTATAGGATTGCCAAGTATAAAAGGATAATTTAGCCACATACTAAACCTCTTGCTCCAAAAAAATTTTTTCTTTTTTTCTATGAAGTATGATAAATAAAAATCACTCCACTACATAAGAGAGTTCCTTGCGCACGTGGCACATGGTCACTTGGGGGGGGGGCGCAAATGTAAATGTGAAGGGAATTCTGAAAGACACACATTATAGGAAATGTGAAGTTGATAACAAGATACAATTGAAACTTGAAATTGTTTAGAGAATTGCTTTTATAAGCAAAATAAAATTGAAGAGATTTGTATTCCTAAAGCATTTTTTTTTCTTCATGTTCAAAAGTGTGGGCCACATAATAGGGTAGGAGTGGTATAGGAAACCGTACACCTTACCATAAGGGTAGAAGATATCCTGCTCAGCCAGAAAGTCAAGTAATTCCCTGGTGTATAATTGAAAACAACATCCATATACAACACATCCTTCATTATTATCTTCCTGTGTGTAATTAGAGATTAGCCTCCACTAGAAGTGGCTAATGGACAATCTGAATACATGGGAAAGGAGTTTATTACAAAATAAACATGAAATAATCAAAGTCCAATAGTACTATCATTATCTACCAAGTACATGACACAACTCAAGAAAGGGAGGTGTTATTAAAGGCTCAAGGCACACCAAGGCGCTAGAGGTCCTTTGGAGCCTAGGCGCGAGGCGCGCGCCCGAGTGAAGTGAGGCGCACAATTGAAAATTTAAAATACCATAAAAACATTCATATCTCATGAGTCATATCAATATTCTAAAAATTAATATCATATATAAAAAAGTAAATCCATCACCTATACAAGCATCCAACACCATAAAACAGAGCATGAATTTGTTTTTCTTGAAAGGCAAAACATAATTTGTTTTTTGAAAGGCAAAACAGAGCACAAAAAGAAACAAATCTGTTAAAAAAATAATAATAATAATGTTAACAAGAAAAGAAAAAGAAAAACAGAATCAAAAAAAAAAAAAAAAAGACGCTGAGACAGAAGAAGTAGATGACGAGAGAGCAGTAGACGAGAAAAATAATTTACAGGCTTCAGCAAAAATAATATTCTACATGTCTTCGCCTTTCATAATCGTTTCTCCAATACTTTGACTAGGTAATTGGAGATGTGGCAATGCCCCACGTCATCAAACATTTGGGATGGAGGCACTAACAGAAATGAGAGAGTACAAAGATTGAAGAGTGACATATTCCTATAATGCAGGACGATTTCAAAATAAGATCACTTTCCCTTCAACACCAAAAAAATTGAGGTTTTCCTGACCTTTTTTATCTAGTAGGGAAAAAAGTAAGTAAAGAAAAAGAATAAAAAATAAAAAAGTAAGGAAAGAGAAAAATAATAAAAATAAAAAGGTGGACATGAAGGTAATGTGCTCCTTCAGGACTAGAAACACTTTTTATTTGCATTTGGGATTAAGTGTGGGATTAGAGGACAAGTACAAAAGGAGATTTGGGATGGAGTTCCACACACCCTATTTTGGAGCATCTAAAAGTACACAACACAAGACCATGTGGATCTTCTTAATCATAAATTGAAATTTAAGTAACTGAAATTGTCTAAGAACTTTAGGAGTTCTCCTTTCATTTTTCTCATTTGAAATTTTTCACTTCAATGCTTTTTGCATACCTTGTGCATGGCCCTACAATGGATCTATAATTTATAAGAATAACTTTTAGTTGTGCCGATGTGGTCAAAAATAGATATTTAAATGCTCCAAGAGGCTCTTCTTCTCCGAGCTCAGGCTATTATGTGCCTCTACATCTAGCATTGGGGGTGAATGAATCATCATTTCCACGGAGGTAAATCTTTCCTGCTATGTAATAGGATAGCAAGTTAAAAATTCTGCCTCAGTAGGACATGTATTACTATTACTATGAAATTCATAAATGAAGTAATTGATGTTGGGCTTACCATAATCTTTTTGTAGTGACGGAATCTTGTATTGAAGAAGAGGCAGACCAAAATATGGTGCGGAAAAACCAAATTGATACAAATGGAAGATGTCTCTGGAACCTTTCTTCTTCTTTTTTTCAAGGTTTCTCTGTGTTTGGAAGTTATCACTTAGTAAGTTTCCATACCAAGCTCAATCCAATTAAGTCCGTAGCGTCTACTACAGGAGCCTAAAACCGTCACTCTAGGAACAATATTATTTGATATGTGTTCCAAGCTAGTCTCGTCATAAAGAATCATACACATGATGATGAGAGATTATATGCAGGATCTTAAGGCAAACTACATGCTAGAGGTATTACACATCAGATGATGGGGCCCAAAATAAAATGCCCTACGTGGAAACCGAAGCCCCAGGCACCTTTAAGGGATGGGGAGGGAAGGAGGGAGGGAGAGAGAGAGAGAGAGAGAGAGAGAGAGATGATGCCATTGTCGGGATAGCCAAGGAATCCCAATATAACCCTCGCCCTTAAGAATTTTATTTGGGTTAGAGAGGTTGAGGTCTATCTAATGCTTCGAAGACACCTTGAAAATGAATAGACTCGATATTAAATGTGCCACAAGGTCCTCTTTAATGTGAATAACTAGGCCTACTTGTAGATTTGTGGTATACCAATGAGGACAATAGGTGCTCATATAGACAGGAGCTCCTCATGGGCTAGCCCAATCCACCGTAGCAATGTCTGGGGAGGGTTAGATGTGTGTAGCCATATCTCCACATACTTGTAAGGGCTGTTTTCTATTTCAAACTCGTGACCTCCAAGTCACAATGGAGTAACCTTACCATTGCGTCAAGGCATACTCCTCGTCGGACATTGCAATGTGTACCTATAACAGTCTAATTGGAAACTTCCATGTCTGGTGACATTGTTCAATAGAATGCATTCAATGCAATAGAGTAATGGCAACAAAACACCATGACAACGAGGAGGCAGATCCCCTAACCGGAGATCTACAATGATACCTCATGTTGGTTGTATCATTTAAAGGCTTACAAAATACTGTCCTTGCATCACCACCATATGGGAACAAAGACAGCACATTTGAATCCATTAGCTGCTCATTTATGATTTGTAGATATGATTTCATTATATCCTGCACTCTTTTTTGCTATGTAACTTCGGTTTTCTTGCTTCAGGAATACTTTTTTTTAGCTAATAACATAGATTTTTTAAAGAATAAATAATATATGTTAACATATATATATTTTCTTGTACTCCCACCTTTTTAGGCTTTTCCATATCACTATATCCTTATTGTGTTGTATGGTCATATCCGTGTTTATGTTTCATAGTAGTATATTTAATTTAAAGTAATGTCGTGGACTTAATAAGGAAATAAGGAAAATACCTTTTATCTCTGAGACTCTGAATTCAAAGCAATATGCAGCTCCGAATAAATTGAAGGACACGAATTACATTTGATATCAAAATTGTTAAGAAAAACTGAAATATACATATAGTGCATTCCTCATAACTATAAGTACAATAGAATAATAACTGCAAAGATCAAATGTTCGTAATTTTGAACTAATCGTAGATAATAATCTCAAGTTTTTCAATCTATTCATCTTGCAAACAAAGCATCAAAGCATGAGGATTGAGTAAATATTTTAAGCAATCCCTGTATGTAACACCTATAAGGCGATAAAAATAATCAAACATATTATGTTTTAAGTTTTTAAGAAACTAGGAACTCAGGCATGTTCTGTATTTTTATTGAATTTCTGTCAATGCCAACGGCCATGAAAACCAGACCAACCAGACTGTAAAATGCAAAGCTAACCATCAGATGAGGATGATCCGCTAACTGGAGACCGACGCCGATACTTCCTGTTGGCTGCATCATTTGAAGGTTTCCGAAACGCTGCCCTTACATCGGCATTCTCTGGGGACGAAGACTGTGTATTTGAATCCATAGTTCCTAACACCTGACAGCACCAATAACTCTTAATTAATTAACAGAAAACCATGATTTTACAGTGAATATCATTGATGAATATGATGATTTCCTTATGTAGGTGTCAGCTTTTTTCAACTTCGAAGGTCTCGAGTGAAGAGGAGAGCGGATTATAGGGAAGACTGTAATTATGTTAATCCTATTAATCTACCATATTCATAACACATCAGGCAACTAATAGCATCCAGACAACTTAAAATCATAAAATACTTTAAAACGTGTATGGCACATAATAAATATAATATATGTCTACAAATTCATATACGATTCATCCATTAGAAACCCTAGTACAACAAAACAAACAACAACGGCAGTAAATCATTCGTTTCGTGAAATTGTGTGAATTCAAAACTCTAAAGAAACATGGATTGTATTGAATAAGATATAAACAGAAAGATTCGAGAATTTCAAGAACTGAAGATAAAAAGACCCAAACCTTTATTTTGAATTCAATTCAAAACGACCGATCCATACACCGAGTCTTCCCTTTCTGTGTCACTTATATATATATATATATATATATATATATGAATATGTGTACGTATACGGTATATCGTTCTTCGTTCGCAGAAACCCTCACGACCTCACCTCGTTCGGGTGTATGATAGGTTAAGTTTGCGCTTAAAAATGAAGCTAGAACTAAAACGATGGTGTATGGGTTCAAGCCAACAATTATTTTGTTGGGTTTATGATCATATTGATGAGTGGGCCACTGATTGGGTCTCAACTCGTTAAATGTTTCATTCAGCCCATATTGAATCATCATTATCCTTGCTGGAGTAAGCTATCCCGCTCCATGATTTTTTTCCCATTATTTGAAGTTATATCTTCTGTTAAATTTTATTTTTAAAAATTATTAATATTATTAATTCATTCCATGTTAGTATTTTTGGTCTGTCTTTGTTTTTGTCTCTTTCTTTTTCCTTTAAGAGAACATCTATAGGTCAAGGTAAATAAGCTTTCATTCCACTTACATCTATTTCTCCTTATTTTCTCCTTAATATCAACAACATCACACATATCTCCCTATCATCACACATTTCCGTCACGTAAATGTGTTATTTTGTGTTTCTTTATTAATTTTCAACATTGGGCGCCAAAATTCTATAGACTTTTCGCTTTTCACTTATTCGATTTATGGCATAAAATCTCACTAGGTTCTTTCACTTCATCCAGTATATTCCAATTCTGCTACTTACATTGTCATTAATCTCTCAATCCTTTTATACAATTAATCCTAAAAATATAGTCTTATTTTTATTGTTACATTAGCTTTTTTACTCTTGTCCGTTCTGCAGACTCTAATTTGTACTGTTAAGACTTTCTTAGAATTATCTAATAGCATTATGTCATCCGTAAATAATATGTACCCTAGAATGTCTCCTCGCAAGTTTTAAATTATTCCATCTAATATTATCTTTAAAAAAATATGAACTTAGTGTTGAACCATAATGTAAACCTACTCTTGTAATGAAATAATCCCTCTCTCCACCTATAGTATGAGGTATAGCTTTTGTATCCTTTAATAATCCTGCTGAACTGGAGTTTGAATCCTCAATCTTCTTATTCGAAAGAGAGTCCATGAGCTATTGGAGACGATAATTCTTTGCACTTACCTAACAAATCTTCTTTAGATCTACATCATATGAAGAGTTATAAAACTAAAAATGGACATGACAAATTAATTGTATATGTGTATAACATGTTTGCATTATATGAATAATTATAGGCCCTGCTTGGAATGAAACTCCCAAAACAATTTTCTGTTTTGTGACACAAAACAGAAAACAGGTGTTTCAATCTTGCTTGGGCCTATTTTTTTGAAACAGATTTTATAAAACTGAGTTTTCATGGAGTTGGTTTTTAGAGAACAACTTAAGACTGTTTTTAGAATTTTCAGACTAAAAGAAAACACGGAGAACACTTTGGCCACTTAAAAAATGACGCTAACCCTCGTATCGTTTATAACACAAGCGGCGCAGCATCCATCTTCTCCCTTTTCAACCTCTCTGCAATGCATCTTCTCTCTTTTTAATCTCTTTGTCTGATCTCTTTTATAATGTTAAATTAGCTGTACAAGGGTTTTGACCTTTAATCTCCAAATTCTCCTCCTCTCCGAAGAGCCCTCTCTCTGATCTCTGCTCAGGTAGAACTCTCTAACCCTCAAATTTCTTTAATCTATACAAGATCTGCGATTTTCTCTCACAATCTTCTATGATCTTATAAATTGTTACAATTTTTTTCCATTTCGGGTAGAATTCTCTAACTCTCTATCCCTTGCTCTTACTCGCTCTAAAGAGCTCTTATTTTTTTCAGCACAAATTCATTATTTATTTATTTTTTTCCCTTTTCTATTACCTAATCTAGTGATTTTCCTTTTTCACAATTCTAATTCTTGGTTTTTGAATGCTTATTGACCTAATGATCCTAGGTTGGTCCAATTTGGGTTTTGAATGTGTCTTTAACAAGTAATTCGTTTTCCATTAGGTTGGATACTTTTTATACTCTATCCATAATTTTGTAGGTTGCTAAGTTTGCTAAGCAGGTATATTCTTAGGGAACTTATTTTTGCAAGTGTGCATGTGAATTTCTCTCAAGTGATAATGCTGTGGGGTTTAGAGCAAAATTTATATGCAAAATTATAACAATGTGGACATAAACTATGCAGCACAACAAAATAATGGTGTTAATTGACTTGTATCAATTGGGATTTAATTCAGGCAAAGATAATAGAAAGGTCCATCTTACTTTAATCATTTTCACAGAATGTTGTTGGCATCATCTAATTATTTTTTCACAACAAAATGCTTAAAAATTTTGATTGTGTTAATTGCCTTGGAATAATCTGATTAATTAAATTAGAATTTTCTAAGCACATAGCCAGCGTAAGGGATTGCCCCTGGTATTGCTTTTTAGTTCATGGCAATTCTAAGCACATAGCCGTAAATGTTATAACTAGGGATCTTGAAACTGGGAATGGCAACAAATTAAGAACTCGTTAGTGTCCTCTTTGAATGCTTGTATTAAATTGAATAAGATTAAATTATATTGATTCAATACAGTATTGCTCTTACTCTTATTGTCATTACTTAAGTCATTAAAAATCCACTCATTATGCATTCACAATTTAGCATTTACATTATGTCCTGTTTTCTGACATTTCTTTTTTCTTAATTAAAAAAGAAAAATTGAATCTTTTTATCAGTGTGTGATTGCACAGTTGTTAGGACAATTTGGAAGACGAGCCCTCTGAAGATATTATATAGGTAATCCAATAGTACTAAATGGGATCCCCCGTTATTCTTTTATTGGGCTCTGTAAAATTCTGATAATTTAAGGAAGCTGTGGTTATAAATCCGTTCTTCAAATTATTCTTTACAAGTTAGTGCTGATGGTTACTCTTATATTTTTTTCCTTTGTTATTGTTTTTTAATCTATGCCTTTGACATTGGCTAATCACTTGCTTTTGGATGTAAAATTATGGTCTAGACAGTTGAGGAACACCAGTAGAGATGGTTTAGTTGATTTTGTTTGTGGTGCAATATGCAACAATCATCATTTTCGATAGTTACAGATATGCCCTAGGCTGTTGAAATTTGACCTCCTTTTTTAAATATTTTTGGTGCAATACAAACTGATTTTGGCGCTCCCCTTCCCCAGTTCCCTCTTTGTTCCCTTGGAGAAGGCACAAGGGTTGGAAGAGACGGTTGATAGAGTTTCTTACAATTTATATATATATATATATATATATATATATATATATTGGCTTTTATTGCTTGTAATTCTTTGGCTAATGCACAAATAAAGAAATATTGTAATTTTTTTATTTATGTTATAAAAACTTTGTTTTGATATACCTTTTACTATGTTTAATTTATAATAGTTATTGAAAATATGTCTAGGTTCTTGGAAAATCAAGATGGACACAGATTGGAGTGGCACGTCGTCTTCACCATCTAGTGATTCAGATGAAGATTTTGATGACCTTGTAGATTGTATGTATTTGAATTTGACGCAAGAGTATGAAGATTCCTTTAAATCCAAGGGAACTTCAGGGTTTACAGGTCATGAGTATGTTCAGGAATTGTTGAATGACCATGCCGATGGATGTTTTGATTTGCTACGAATGGATAGAGAAGTCTTTCTGAAATTATGTCGAATATTGAGAGAACGAAAATTATTGGAAGACACACATACAATTTCAATCGAAGAGTCAGTGGCAATGTTTTTGTCCATTATAAGACATAATATTCGTCATGCAGTGGTAGCTGAACGATTTCAACATTCTGGCGGAACAGTTTCTAAACATTTTAAGCTCGTATTGATCAGAGCAATACGTCGCATTGGGAAATTCTTCATACCCACCACAAAGCAATGATGTGCCTTCTCATACATTTCATAATCCCAAATATTATTCTTGGAATAAGAATTGCATTAGAGCAATTGATGGAACACATATAAGTGTTTTTGCACCTGCCAGCAAATAAACTCTTATAGAGGAAGAAAGTCTATAGTGACACGAAATGTTGTGTGCTTGCTCATTTGATATGCTATTTACTATCGTTTACGCGAGTTGGGAGGGTAAAGCAAATGACTCGAGAGTTTTTATTGATGCAATTACTAGAGCTGTTGTATGATTCCCGATACCAGCTGATGGTATTCCTATTACTTTTGTCTTTTTAATATTAATAATAGCATGTTACTAACACTAATAAAATTTAAATAATTATTTGCAGGAAAATACTATGTAATTGATTCTAGTTACCCATGCACAAAAGGATTTCTACCTCCATATCGTGGTCAAAGATATCATCTACAAGATTATAAGGGTAACAATCAAAAACCGCGTGGTGCAAAGGAATTATTTAATTATCGGTATTCATCACTTCGCAATGTCATTGAATGTTGTTTTGGAGTAATAAAGGCTCGTTTTCCCATTTTAAAGCTTATGCCTTGTTATAAGTTAGTTAGACAACGACTCATAATAACTACTTGTTGCACGATTCACAATTTCATTCGTCAAAATATATTAGATGATCGTTTTTTTATGGAGTATGGGGAAGAAGATGTTAATGTCATTGATGGGGGGAATGGTACTAGTAGTAATGTTGGTGTACTGAATGCACTTAATTTATTTGATAATAGTACAGCACAAATGGGAGCCTTTATAACTCATCTGAGGAATTAGATGTGAGCATCATTAAGAGGGAATGCTAGATGAAGTTACTTTTATAATTCTCTAATGTTTTGCTTTGATTAGCTATTTGTGTAATTCTCTAATATTTTGTTTTGGTTATGTATGACTAAAATTAATGTTTATACAACTAAAAGTGCATATGACACTTGAAGTAATTCATGTAACTCTTTTATTATATTTAAATTTAATCAAATTTTAATTAAACTTGATATATTGTATTTGTGCAACTTTGATTAAGTTAAGAATACTAGCTAAAATAAATTCACCTCCAACACTTATTTAAATATATATATATATATATATATATATTTACATTAATAGTGAATATCATAAATTAAAGAAATAAAAGAGTGGTACAATAATATTTTTATTTATTTTCTTAGTTCAGAAAACTATTTTCAAAAACTTATATAACCAAGTAGTTTTATGAGTTTTTGTTTTTTGAAAACTGTTTTGTAAATTTTCTTAACAAAGCAGGTTTGAAATCTGAAAAAACTAAAAACTGTTCTCTGTTTTGATTCTCTTAGAGATATGAATATAGAAATACTCAAAATCTCAAAAAAAAAAACAAAAAAAAAAGGAAAAATTTTAAATTTCACTACTTAACTTTGTTTATTTTAAAGAATGCTAACTTTTTCAAACTATTGGGTTTGACTGCTACGTTTTTTAAACTAATTACAAATTTATACAAAAACACTATTTAGATTTTTTTCATAGCTTAGAACGCCCCTCTGTACTTTTTATTCAATTACCCTGCTACCCTTTAACACCAAAGTTATCAAAAATGTCCAAACTCACCCAAACTTTTTTTATGGGTTTGGGATGATTCTGCCACGTCTCCATGGAGTACTCTTTGTTTTGTTTAGTTACTTTTTTCTAACAGACTACCTTATTCAACTTGAAAGACATTTGCATATTTTGCTTACTGTCATATTTTGCGTACCTTGTTTATGACATCATGTTCGTCGTGCTACAAATTCTCTAGCGCATCAAATTGTTATGCTCTTTAGATCTCAGCCTTGCTCTTGTTAGCTGTTTTATAGGCTGCCTTGGTAGTTACTGTTGTTTTTATCTTTAGCTCTGTGCTTCCCGTTTCTTCTGTGTTTCTTGTGGTTTGTCTTGTTTGCCTTGTAAAAAAATATATATATCTAATGGAAGAATTTCTTTTTGTTCAGTTGCGAGTTTGCAACCAAAAAAATACAATGAATGTGACCAAAGATGAGGATGATGATTTGTGGGGGTCCATTGCTGCTCCTACTCCAAAATCTACATCAAAACCCTAGAACGTTAAAAAAAATAGGAACACTTGATGATGATGACCATTAGGATGCCATTGTAGCACCTCCACCTACCACCAGGGCCAAGCCGTTAGCTGGGCGAGGCTGAGTGTAATACCCTTAATTTTAAAAGGATAGTCTTGGGATTTATTTATTTATTTTATTGCATTTTTATTTAATTATTTGATTACGTGGGCTAATTGTTTATGTGTTTTAATTGAATTATTTGTTTAATTAAACTATGTGCTTAAATGGTGTATTTTAATCAATTTGTTTGTATTAAGTTATTTGCTTAAGTAATGCGTAGCTATTTGTATTTTAATTATTATGATTTAAATGTTTATTATTTTATTTTAAGGGAGTTGAATTTGGATAGTAGTAATGGACCAACCATTTGGGTCATATGGACTACTTGGATAGGAGTCTTGATGGGTAGAGATATTTACCCATGAGTATATATGCATATAAGGATAGTTTTACTATTATTATTATTATTTGTAATGTTATTAATAGTAGTAGTATTAGGTATAGCTATTATATATATATATATATATATATATATATATATATATATATACAGGAAGGCTCTCATACGATCCAAAATAACGGGCCAAAAGGCAATTAGGAAAATTACACTTTATTACTTTATCAGTCCTAACCATAGTTAAATTACCATAATTAGCCCATACATTCGTTCAATCTTTCTCTCCTTCATCTTTTCCATCGTCCTTGCAATCTCAACCAATACTACCATATTCACATCATCACAGCCACAACACAACTATCAATTTTTTAGAGACCTTTTATTATTTCCATGGCAGGATTAAGCAATATATGCTTTCTGTTTGAGACTCCATTATTAGAGGTTGTGTTTATTCACGAACCTTAAAAAAATTGGTATTCTTTGAACCCAAAAAATAAAGCTTATTCACGAAATGTGGAGTAATGGGTCGATGAAAAAATAATAATAAATAAGAGAACAATAGTCAGGCCATCAAGGTAAAAAATAAAAAATAAAGCAAATAAATAAATCAAAGTGCAAAAAGAAGATGGAGAAAGAGATAGTGACCTGGATTCGATTTTGGAAAAATGATATGGTAGTTGTGTTGTGGTTGTAGTGGTGAAGATGGTGGCTGTGATGGTGTGGATATGGCGGTAGTGATTAAGATTGCAAGGACGATGGAAAAAATTAAAGAGAGAAAGATTGAATAAAGGTATTGGCTAATTATGGTAAATTAACTATGGTTAGGTCTGATAAAGTAATAAAGTGTAATTTTCCTAATTAATTTTTGGTTCGTTGAAAAGTTCATTATTTTGGACCGCATGAGAGCTTTTTTGTATATATATATATGTAAATCACGTAAGCAAACTTAGCTTATATATATATATATTTTTTCTATTTTCCTTTTCTTTTCTTAAGCCTTAAGGTAAGAGAGTTGGGCTTAGATTAGAATTATAGTACTCTTTCTCTATATATATGTGTGTGTGCTGTGTATATGAAATGGTTGCACCAATTATGCAAACACAAGAGGTGGGAGAGAAAGAGAAAGAACAGAGAGGGAAAAAGAAAGGAAAAAAGAGGAATTTGGCTAAGGTTGAAGGCCGAACCAATGAGAGGAAGAAGGAGGTTGTTGTGGCTTAGAACCGAGCAACAGAGAGCTTCAAAAGCAACTTAAAGGTCACCGGAAAAGCAAAGGAAGAAGAAGATAAGGTTTTCATTCCAAAACCTTAAGACAAGTTCTTCTTCTATCTCTTCCCCTTTGATTTCGCATACCATACATGCCTAGGACAATTCCAGGATTATTAAACAGTAAAATCAACCATGATTACATGCTTAAACGGAATAAAAAACAGTAAATATGTTTACGTATATATGGTTGTTTGATTTGGATCTTTGATGCATGAAAACTTGTTTTAAATTGTTCTAATTATGCATCAAGGCTTAAAAGTAATTATTGGGGATCATTTGAGACTTTGTATATACACTTAAAACCCTTAATGGAGGAGATCGGAGTAGACACAGGTCGCCGGAAACGAAGAAGACGACTCATAGTAGGAACGAGTCGACTCAGTTTTAACTAAGCCGACTTAGTTGCGAATCGAGTCGACTCATTTAGAACTCAGTCGACTGGATTTGTAAACCGAGCCGACTCAGTTAGGAATTGAGTTGACTCCTCTAGAGAATGAGCTGACTAAGTTAGGTTGCAACATGAGTGTTACGTTTTAAATATCCATAAATTGGTTTTAACCTATTTTAAATTATTTTGATGGGTTAAATAGAGTTGGAAAAAACCCATAATGCATAATATACCTTTATATGCTAAGAGATTGGATAGTAGGGGATTGTAAATAACTTATATATTGTTAATGGAGGTTTATACTGACGTTAATTATTCTAACAAGTACAATAGATGCTTAAATGATTTTAATCATGATTAGGAGGATGTTTATAGTTTAATTAAGATGTATGTTAATTACTTGGGATGTAAGTTAATTGTATGATATTTAAATTGTTATTATTCCTTAATTAAATGCAAGGAATATCTGTATGATTTATATCATGTTATGTATAGATTATTTGATGTATAAATGTATATGTTGCATCAATTCTTGGTTTATGGATTTAATGCACCATTATTAGGATATGGGGTCCTATCTATTTGTGTCAGGCCACGGAACCAGCTGGATGACATGTCATTGAAAAACTATGGCAGATAGTTTACTTTTATATTTGTATAAGATGAATTTATATATATATATATAGGAATATATGCCATGATATGAGCGTAAGTCTCAGGATCAGTAGTTAGGGAGCGTATATTACCTAGGATACATAGTTGGATATAGTGAATAGTTGTGTGCCCTGGTAGATTATGGTACTCATGCCCACTATATGTGCGTTTTGTATGTTGCCTACTATTCAGGTTGAGGCCGTCTTATAATCCAATGAGAGTCCTTTTAGTGTGTATCTAAATATATATATATATATATACATATATATATGTATATGTATATGTATATGTATATACATATATATGAACTATGTAGTTATTGTTGAGTTTACAAGGATGTACACGTGTATCGGGTCTCTGTTTGTGATGTAATAGAGTAGAACTTGTTCGTGGGCCTGACCCGCTATTATTTTTCAAGTGTTCATCAATTCCAGACTTAGAGCTTGTTCGTGCTGAGCAGAGACAATCTACTTCACTCTTCCGATTTTACGTAGGATTATTCTTTATGTTTTAATATTTAGATTTGGTATTATTTCAGTTATTATTTCAATTGGGTTTTTAGGGGTCCACATTTTGGATTCCCGAGTTGTAATTTAGATGGTTATTAGTATTAGAAGTTTTGATTTATTAATGGAGGATTTATTTTATGGGACTATTAAATAGAGGATTTGTTATTTAGTTTTCTTTCCAGCCTTATTATTTAATTTTATTTATCTTTTGTATTCTGTGTTCAATTATTACTTTAATTGTTTGGTATTCCTTGGTTTTGGACTTGGGCCTAATCAACCCGTGGCTCTAGAGTCGAAGGGTATCACATTTGATATCAGAGCACTCTAAGTTCAAGTGTCTCTAAGGATCTATCGTTTATCGACTTACGCGTAACATATTCTTTTATTTAGAGCTTAATTTAGGATTCATTGTATTCCTTAACGGTTCGTTTTAATCATATTGATGCCCATCTTTCTATGTTAACAGAATAGTTAACGCTGTAAGAAAAAATAGTGTTTAGATTTGTAATTAGCTTCAAAAACTTGGCGGTCAAACGTAATAGTTTGAAAAAGTTAGCCTTTTTTAAAATCAGCAATGTTAAATGGTTAAAATTTTAAATTTTCCCCCCAAAAAATTTATTTTTATTCAAATATA